TCCAGCTGCAGAGTATTATCAAGATAAGAATGTGAAACAACAGCTGGAACACGAAGGAGAAACAAAAGTGTACAAATCACTGGAAAAGCTCAGGGAGAATTTTATCGCTCTTCTTGGGCTAAGATTCACGCATCAGCAGTATAATTTATTTGTTGGACATGATGGTGTTTTGAACGGTCAAAATGACGGAGGAGGAATCGACTTTCTGATAATCCATGACAAATTTGTGTTGGTTTTAAAAGTCATATCATCTAATGGTGAGAGTAATGAAATGTTCATGAAAAACTATGCAGCGTCCAAAGACAATTTAGAAAATGTTTATAAGTTTGTGATAGGCATAAACAGGAAATTTAAATTCATTGAAGCTCCTACTATCCATCAATTCTCTGTTTTTATGAACATCACAAAAAATTATGCGGAGGATAGCCTGGTTGGGTATGTTTCACTGTCCCCCGAAGAAAAGCATTCTATCCTCTTTGAAGATGACCTTGAAAACCAAGAGGATCTTTTGTTTCGCTTGTTAGGCAAACCCACTTTAAGAATGACGATAGAAAACAAGATGAAATGGTTTCTCCTTGGTTTATGGAACACAAACAAAAACATGGAGACTTATGCAAAAATAACTAGTGGTCTTAGTCAAAACATAGAACGATTTCAAGATCTACAGAAGCCATTAGAGATAAAAGGAGTTCCAGCAAATTTATCTGACGATTCATCAAAAGACGAACAAGAAAGGACTCAACTAATAAAGCGGCCAGAATTCAACGCAAAAGTTGATGTCCGTTTTAACGAAGGCTTAATTAAACAGATCGTCAAAGTAGGGATCGCAATTTCGTCACTTCACTGTAAAGAGAAAAACGGACACCCCATTATGTTTCCTCCTGCACCACTTTGTAAATTTATTGACAAGTATCCGGACAATATTGAGGATGAGCCTAACTGGGTAAAACAAATTGAGAAACAGCAGCGAGAATACGAAGCTGAAGTTACAGTTTATAGAGCACTTGAAGAAATTAGAGAAGATGGTATTGTTCTTCACGGGGTACGCTTCACGCATCAGCAGTATAATTTGTTTGTCGGACATGATTGCAATAAGAAAGACATGGACGACGAAGGAGAGATTGACTTTATAATGATTCATGACAGATCTATATCGATCATAGAAGTTAAAGCATCTGACTGCGATAAGGAAAAAAAGTTCAGACGAAACTATATGAAGTCAAAAGTCCAGCGAGAAAAAGTTAACGAACTTTTGATGAGCGTCAGCAGAAAATACGGTTTTAAATCACAAGCTATTAATCAATTTACTGTTTTCACTAGCATCAATAGAAAATATGCGGAGAATAATCTTGTTGGTTATCGTTCTTTGTCCTTTCAAGAGAAGTCTTGTATTCTGTTCAAAGATGACCTTGAAAATGAAGGCGTTCTTTTGAGTTGCTTGTTTCAAGAGACCACACTAAGAAAAAAGACCGAAAACAAGATGAAATGGTTGCTCCTCGGTTTATGGTGCATGGACAATAGCAACGAATCCAATGTCACAAAGACTTGCGATCTCGGTAAAAACATTGAACGAGTTGACGATCTTCTAAGAACTTCGGAAATAACAAGCAGTCTGAAAAGAGGAAACCGATCACCCTTGGTAAAGAATGCCCCACCAATTTTCACGAAACATTTAAAAATCAAATGTCTAACAGCAAGTCAGCTTGATGTTTTCGAGAGCAAACAAAATAAACTTTGTTTAAGGGGCCCGGCAGGGACTGGAAAAACAATTCTTATCATGGCTAAAGTTATGGAAATAGTCAAGTCCACAGACAAAAACGTTGCTATTATTGTTCTCAACAAGACTCTGGCAAAAAAATACTCTAAAGTTTTTGCACAGTCGGGCCTAAAAGCAACTCTGTGGGGAGACGAGAAATACAAGTCGTTAAAATTGCAAGGAAGGATTTTGATCAAATATTTTGTAAACCAGGTGACGGTGAAAGAAGAAGACTTGGAAATCCTTCCAATCGTTGAGGTTAACGAGAAAGATAGGTGCTCCAGTTTAACGACTCTGCTTCGTTCTGATTATGATATATTCATTGATGACTTCCACGGTTTGACCACCGGAGTTGGAGGTAAGGCTGATCGTGTATACGATCAGGTTTTGGCGGAGTTTGAGTCGAAATCACGATCAAAAAGAACGTTTTGGATAGCAAATGACACTTTACAACGTGGGTATATAAATGACTATACAAAAAAGCACAAAAAAGTTGAAGAATTGATAAGCAGGTTGAGCCCCGATGTCATCAAACAACTCTCTGATAACCTAAGAAACTGCTATGAAATAGCACAATTTCTAGCAGAAATAAGAAAGATGAGATCGAAATCATTTGATAGAGGTGTAAAATTTATTGATCAGCAACCAGGCCATTTCATCCATGGCCCAAAAGGCATGTTGTTATTGCTAAAAAGTTTCACGCTCAACACAAAGTCGACAAGGATGCATGCCAAACAGCAAATTCTTAAAGAACTCGAAAAGCTAAAAAACACCAAAGTCGCAATCATAGTAAATGACGATAGATTACTCGCATCAGATAAAGGTTTCGAGACCCAGGATACTTATTATACAAACAAATTTCAACACATTCAAAGGAGTCTAAACTTTTATCAATCAGATATCATCGACTGGGAGGAATTGTGCAAAGATACAGTTAATGAGTTTCTTGCAGAGGCGAAATCGACGAGCTATTCGGGCCCGAAAAACCCCATCGACATAATACAATACGAGAACACATTCTCTGCTGAATGGCCGGCAGTGATAGGAATATTGGAATGGACTTTACCAAATTGTTGTAATCGAAATAACACAGAGTTCTCAATGGAGGATTTATTGGCAGAGTGGTATGATCAGCAGCTGACGAGAATGTACATTACTGCTTCGAGAGCGAGGGTTTATTGCTCTTTGATTATTGTATTGAGGGACGTGGAAACTTTTGTCAAAGAAGGCACACTTGTAAATTCCCAACATAACCGTGGATCCATGTACAGCAACAGTTTAACAGCAGTCCCAGTGTTGGAGATAACAAAACAGAAAATCTTGCTCCTTTTTAATGACATTTTCAGGATATCTGGATCGTACATGCTTCCTACAGTGGTTATTATGCGACACGGTTCTCCTCTGCCTTATTCGCACAAACAGTCGCAGTGTTCACCAAGTGATATGTTTGCGGACTATGAAGACTTCAACAAACAAGATTTGTGGGAACATGTGGATATAAACGATTTAGTAAATAATCCTCCAGCTGGTTATATTCAAAACGATTAAACAGATCATAACCTTTCAGTCATTTAGAATTTCCATATTTGTAGCATTCAATGAAACAATAAGTTTTATTTTACATTCCTTTCATAAATAAAATAAGAGCTTAAACCACGAATTAGTTAAAACTAGAAGTAAACTTGAGGAAATATTCTTTAGTGGTTGTATATAATTATTTTAAAAAAACTTTATTTGTTAGTATTTTTATTATAGAAAGTGGTTGAATTTAGTGAGACAAGGTCAGTTTCTCTATTGTCTCAGAAAAATTTCTACTTTACAGTAGGCAATGCTGAGTGGCAGGAATGACGGACCAAAACGCTTGGGGCTAACAATGGCCCATAAGGACAAAAGCTGCCCAAAGCTAAGCACGCCAGGTCATTTTGTCCAGATTTAGCATGACGGATATGCCGAAAATGAGCATTTTGGTTAATACGCTATATAATAAGCTATAATACGATTACACCAGTTATTGCACTTGACTGCGCCTCGTGAAATAACTGCAATTATTCGCCTTGTGCAATTATTGCATCAATTTTCACTCGGCTGCGCCTCGTGCAATTAATAGTGTAATCGCATTATACGCAGTTAGATTAGCGTATATAATTTCTACAGTACAGATTTATATTTTTATAGATTATCAATTATGATGAGAAATTAAAACGTAACTAATTTTTAACAATTTCCTCGAACAAGGCTTTCGACTAGCGGGTTTCTAGTTATAAATATATATATATATCCATAGACACAGTTTGTTTCTCTTTTCAGCAAAGTGCTCAACTAATTAATAGGAGCTTTCTATAAGTGTGGCAAAGTAAACGATGTTATCGTCCAACTAAAAGTTTCAGATGGATGTGTGAACAACAATTTTCAGGGACCCTGAAGAAACATCGTGCTGACTCAGTCTCAGTTCCTTTGATTTCAGTAATATCCCATAAACATTATTGGAATGAGTTAACAATATTTTGACATGTCGGCTGATGACTTGTCGGCTGATCTCCTTCTAATCCTGACAGCTTCAAAGCGTGGTTTCACTTCAATCTGTTGAAACAGTTCGTCTACTTTAGCTGATATTTTCTCATCGTCTGTCTCCTTTAAACCAAAGATGACAAGATTCCTGCTGTGGTCCTCTTTCGATACAGCACTCTGAACAACCTTTTTTAAGCTCTGTTCTGTCAGTGTAGTTTCCAACGAGACTTTTGAAACAGCTTGACTGTATGAGTATGACCTCAGACCTGATCTCAGCTTGCACAGTTTCTTGAAGGACCGATTTCACGGTGGTCTGAACAGAATCCAGCTGCTTTGATTTGCCTTTAAGTAGATCACTTTGCAGCTTGACAACCGAACTTTGTGACCAAATAAAACTGCTCTTCAACTCCTCAATATCTTTCGTCATACTCCTTCTTGGACAAATTGGTTCATGTTACTGTACACACTGTACCTCAACTGTGACATAACTTTCTCAAGTGGTTTTTCGAATTTTTAATGGTGTATTTGGTCCTAGCTAGATGTGACCTGTTCCTTGACCGATTATGTGACGCGTCACGTACGGTATAGCTACAGTCCTAAACCTGTGCTAACCCTGAGTGGTCATGTTATGGAATAAAACAGAATCTCAATCTTTTGTGTGTTATCTTGGTTTGAAACATTTTAACTAATCATTGGATTAAGATATTTTTATATCATTGATTCTTATAACAGATCTGCTGATGGTTCAGGATGGGAAACCAAAGACCGAACTGCAGATGGCTCGTGAGCAAAAGAGAATTGAAAAGGAGAAAGAAAAGGCAGCCAAACAGGTGATGATACCAATCATAACACGTTTCATTTCAACATTTTCACATACTTATTCCTAAAATGCATTAAGGGTAATTTCTAATAGTAGTTACTATTCATAATATATATATGAAATTCAGAAAACAGAAAGCAATTTCCTTACCTGCTCTATATTTTACCACTGATTACAACCCTGCTTATCACAATATGTATTCACACTTTGTTTAATTTCCGTTTTTAAATACATGCTACTATACCTTAAATAGTTGTGAAGTCAGATAAAATTGAATCGTTTATGGAATACATAGTTGCCAAAATGAATAAATGGTTGGTAAATTGATGTATCCTTTTTTTAAATGACAGTGTTATTTTGCATAATTTTGACAGTGAAATTCTATATTGACAGTCTGCGCTTTCTTCTTTAGGAGTCTCATTTCTCTGATCTCTCTGACTTTATTTGCAATTTTTTACAAATTGAATTTGTAGCTCACTTCATTCTTCAGTGACCATACGATAACATATCGAACTTACTGCTTACTTAATTTTCTGTTTCATCTCATTTTCTCAACAACTCTCCTCTGTAATTAGACTTGTCAAAAGATATGTTAAATATTTATCATCGGAATGTATCGTAAATTTCGAATGAATTTAACTCGATTTGGAGTTGCATAGATTGGGCTGTAGTAATTTGTACAAATACAATACAATAATTGCTCACCCTCGATTCGAATTAGATTGGAATACTATCATCTGTACATAGCATGCGTTTGGCTGTACGGGTAAACCGCCCCTAAAATGTCACCCACCCCTAAAACGCCACTCTTGATTGATTGGATCCCATCTTCTTAGAAAGTATCTTACCTAATCATTTGTAACTCCTAAACATAAAAAAATATCATTCAGACCCTGCCACATCCTGAAATTGAATCTAAATGATGCCATAAGGGCATTTTTTTCACTTTGTACGAATTTTTTACTTTTGAAAAAAAGCGCACAATTTTATAACTCTGGAATTCATTAATATTAACTCAGTTTTGGTCTAGGATAGTGATATTTACATATTTTAGCAACTTTGTACATATGACTGGAGATATGGAAAGTTATACATTACTCAATATTACTACCCTCCCCTAAAATGTCACCTGGCCGCCCCCTAAAATGTCATTTTATCAGATTCTGGCTTTGAGACTACAAGCACCATAAAATGGAGGTACCAGCCTATTAAACATCATATTTAGCATCTAATGGTAATATAAGAAAGCTTTTGCAGCTCAAGGAATTAGTTTTATTTTATTAATTGCAATAAACATCCCCTAAAATGTCTAATTGTCCCCCCTAAAATGTCATTTTAACATGATCAAATTACTCAGGCTTTTCCTAAGATGCAATGCATACTCACATTTCGTTAATAGTTGATGTTAATAATTAACAAGTGCCAAAACAAGAGCTATTATCGCACACCATGCGAACAAAATACAAATTTGACATTTTAGGGGAGGAAAAAATGACATTTTAGGGGGCATATCATAGGTTTACCATAAACTAGTAAGTACCAAAAAACGTAGTTTTTGACATTCAATTTTGCTAAAAGCAGTCAAATCTAGTCTATAGAGAAGGTCAGATCGATTACTGGGTTGGATTAGTTAACTACAGGTCACTAAAATTGCCAAAATGCAGGATGATGTTAAAAATCCCAAAAAATGCAATTAAAACATGCAATTTGCACAAGGTTAAAATCACATTGAATCCATTTCTTTTGTGCCAATTGTTAGTTTATAACTAGATAATCTAACTACAGGTGTTAATTTTGTTGACTGAGTTACTGTTTTGCCGTAAGTTCTGGGTATTAAAAAAAAAGGTCCCCAAAATGTCACAAAAAGTACATTGACTAAATTCCACCATTTTTTTTCAACAGAGAGAGAAATTCTGGTCGACACCTCTCAGAAATAGGTTATATTTATCCCAGAAGTGGTTAAAATTAATAATTAAGCAACATTCTGAGTGCTACACAACCTGTTTTAGCTGACGTTTTAGGGGTGGTGCACGTGACATTTTAGGGGGTGATTACGGTTTTGAGGTACTTCCTTTAGTGAGTGAATGTTTTCAAGACAAAACAAATAGTACTAGTGACAAAAGATAAATCAGGCCTCCTGTACATTTTGTAATTATCACACATATAGAGTTGAAATTTTAGGGGTGGTGTTTTAAAAGTGACTCCATTTCAACGTCAAAAACATTGTACCTGATTTTATTTTCAAATTTCCAAATCTTCCTGGCAGGCTAGAAAAAGGTTTAAATATTATTCCTAGACACTTCAGAACCCTGTAAATTTAGCCCTAACTCGGCAATCTGGGCCCAAAAAACAGGTGACGTTTTAGGGGCGGTTTACCCGTACCTTACAAGATATATTTATGTTCGACATAATTCCGGTGACCTAAATGATTTGGAAACAAAAACATGGGAATTTTTTTATGAAAACGCCACATTTCGTACCCCAAATTAAATCATGGTATTAGGTGATTTTTTCACAAAAATGAAACCCAATATTTGAGAAAATTAAATACAAAGATCTTCTCTGATCAGCTGTTTCATCTTGTGAAAAATTTCTCCGGAGCCTTTGAAAGTTAGCCTCAACTTAACTTATAATCCTCCAGAGGGTATAGGAGACCGACAGTGTTAGTTATTTTCCACTACTCCCGAAATTTCACCGCTGTGACCAATAAAGTAGCGACAGAGCTTACTTATTTTTAATAGAACGCACGTCCAAAATCATTTTTAAACAATTCATGATCGAATACTAGTATTTATTAATTTTTTGATGAATCATATTTATAACCTACTATATTGATAAGTTGATAGTAAATAAGTAAATCGATCAAGTCATGATTAAGGAAAATACGTGAAAAATAATTTGGGGAAAATAATGTTGGTGACCTAAATTTTGGTAGTCCGAAAATATCGTGTTTTTTTTTCGAAACCCCACCGATTTTCGTACCATTTAAATATGTCTCGTAAGGTATACTGTAATTATACGAATAATTAGTGTCGCAAAAATGTGACTGACATAAATTTGTAGCAATTATATTCTAATTAAAGTAATTCTTAATACATTTTGATAAATAGTTCGTTTATTTGTGATCCCATGTTCCGGGAACATTGTTCTTGTAGCTCCAAATTGTAGCATTAAACATTTAATATCCTTTTTCCAGGCAAAGGCTGCAGTTGCTAAAGGGATGAAGAGAGAAAATTGGATGGATTACATGCAAGTGCTGATAGACTCAAAAATTGCTGAGGACAAAGGAGGTAATTTCGATGTCTCCAGATGACAATTATTTCATAAATGTGATTCAATATTTTATGATTTGAAACTATTGTAATAAGTATAAGTCATGATGATCGAAAAGACATTTAAATTCTAAATGCATCAAATTTTCAGGAACGGAAATGCTAACAACTCTGGAGCTGGAAGGGATGAAATGTGACGTGATCAGTCAGCCGTTACCGAACACAATCTCTTTTATTAGATTTGAGCTCAGCGCTGACGATGGTATTGTCTCCAAAACTAAAGTAAGTGGAATCTCATACTCTTCAAGAATATAAGTAAATAATTTAAAGCGTTTTATTTTCCATGTTTTGTTCACATTGATTCAGCTGGAAGCTGATTGGTCAATCTCTGTCACGTGTCAACCTTTTCCTAACCTAGTCTCGATTTTTCAGATTTTTGAGGATACAGTTCTGTTAGTAGAACAAGCAGAAACAGTGGCCGCACACGTGCAAAGTGATAACTTAGTCACACACGTGCGACAATGCATTTCTATACTCTCAGAACACGTCACCTGCACAGTTACCCTTCTTGTGCTGGGTTTTGATAAACTCATGAAGTCTAAACGAAAAGGGTTTGCAATATTTTACTTAATATTCGTTGGTATATCTGTCAAAATAGTAAAAGTTTACCATTTGCCGATTACAATATTTTAAGAATCTTTTGATCACTTCATAAGATAATATAAAACCAAACGGACTGCATGCTCTGTTTTCCCCCGTAAGCTAATGTGTACAAGCACTGGTTATTGGTTATTGGTGATAATTTCAGTACGATTTTCACATGACACATTTCTATTAATAGAACGATAAATAGACTTGATTGGGAGCAGGGAGTGGTTGCGTTGCAAATGGAGCTCAATGTTTCAACTTACATTATCAAAGACACAGCACAAGTAAGTATATCGTATAGGAGTAATCCGCTTACTCAGTAAGCGCACTGATTTCAGTATTCAACAACTATGTAACTTGTTAGGCAACTGATTTCGCATTGAAGTTTTATTGAAGGAAGACCGCAGTATCTAAAGTGGACACAACAACAAATACTTCATTCAGTTGGTAGATAACGTGAGAATGTACTGTAAAGCTCTGGGAGAACGGCCCCACAAACTAAAACACCACAAAGACCTGTTTATCGGAACCTCTAAAACCCCCCTATTCGTTGACAGAGAGGGTGGGGGCTACCTGCAAGTCTTCATAGCTCAACTCCAAGATATCAGATCCGTTAACGAAGCTGTAGCTACTGCAGTTGCTCAGCAGTACCCCTCTCCGGTTATATTATCTAATTATATAGACTCTACTGATAAGGACACTGTTATCAATACTCTGGCTGGTATACCTGTTAGGAGAGGTAATATTTGTAATTCACAGGGGGGGGGGGGGGGGGGGGTTCACAGCTTTTAGAGACAATAGTTTTGAGAGCAGTAACTTTCTTATAATGCAAAAAAACAGTGGTCCTGATAACCAGATAATGATAATTTAAAAACAATCCGAATCCAAATACTTAAAAAATTGAGGGTAATTTAACTGCAGTATGTCTGCAGGTGTTGGAACGTTAGCCAACGTAAGGAGGGTTGGACCTGAGGCTGCCAAGAGGATTGTACTCTTCTACAGCTCTTCTGATCCTCTACAAGAGATAGTGTAGCGGAGTAATGTCACGTGGTGTGACGTCACCTCACGTGGTGTGACGTCACCTCACGTGGTGTGACGTCACCCACCCCACGTAGTGCGAGGTCCAGGCTCGTGGTTATGGTGTAGTCGCTCTGTACTGCTTGCAGTTACATAATATAGAAGATATCAACACACAAAATGAAATACAACACTGCAAATTTGCAGTTTGAACTTTTTAAATTTTAAGAAGTTTTATTTTTAGCTTTCTAACTTATTCTTATTTATTAAATTGTTATCTAAGTGTGTACGGTTGAGAGAAGTGTATTTTTACAAATATCATAATTTTGTTCTTTTTCTCGGCTTATTTTTAACACTTGACTGATCTAAGATTTATTGATTTGTAAATTATTAGATTCTTTTTCCATTAATCCAATGTTTACAACGATATTCATTACTTCATTATAAATAAACACCTTAAAACTACTAACCAGTAGACACTGAATAAGTAATAAATTTGCGTTAGTTACCGCACAATTTGCGTCCAACACATAAATTGCATTATTAATGAAGTCTTATAATAGCTACTCGTAACGAGGAAGTGTTATTGTAATGTAATTTATATGTACACTACATGTACACAAAGGTATATACACACAGTACACACCGTAACGAGGAAGTGTTATTGTTATGTAATTTATATGTACACTAGATGTACACGAAGGTATATACACACAGTACACACAGTTATAATAGAGTGTGTTACATAGCAAGACTCACTACTGTCAATTAATAGTGTTAATTGTGAACTAGGTGACATGTGACAGAGGAGCTGCACACTTGGAGACACTTGGAGACACTTGGAGACACTTGGAGACACTTGGAGACACTTGGAGACACTTGGAGACACTTGGAGACACTTGGAGACAACCCTACAGAGTACATTAAGTGTGACTGGTTGTTAAAAACAGTAGACAGTTAACAAAGTAAAGATGTCGGCCGGGGTTCTACCCTTCCTCAGGGCTATAGACTTCACTAAGAATAACTTCAAGGTTTGTTCAGCTGATTACACTTCTTAAAATTAGTCATTACAAGATTACAATTACTAAAGTTTATTTAACCCTGTTATATTGGAGCTTCTCTTTAATTCCTGCTAGTTTAAAGACCAGTACAGCATAGCTCTGTGCTAGTAACCACTACATTCCTAAGCCTTGGCTAATGACTAATTACTAATTACGTATTTTTCTGTTAATCTCACAGTTTCACGGAATACAGTTTAGAAAATGTTGTTTGAATTGTTGTGGAAATTTCTCCACTGGTTTTTTACATTACTGCTTCTAGCAAAGGTATGTAGAATAAGGCGGCTGCCATTCCCACTCCTCATTAAATTGAAAAAGATCGGGGTTTCCACAATGGTCCACTATCCACGCCATTCAAAATGTGTTGAACACAAAATCTCAGTGATAGATAATTCTCCCAGGATGATTTTCCAGCGGCAGTGGCGAACATGACGTCCCTAACTTGGCTTCGAGCCAACAAAACTCACCTGTCTGATGTACCTGACAGTCTGTGTAAACTTAATAAGTTGGAGGATCTTATTCTGAGCAGGAATGAGATTAAGGAACTGCCACAAGAGATCACTGAGATGGCAGGACTTCGGGTAGGGAGTGTGGAATTTGTCTTTTCTCTTTTGTGTTAAATATCAGGCACCTTTATGTGTAGCTGGAATGTTAAATCTCGATCTGGTTATTGTTTAATGTACACTTTTGTCATTTATGGCTGCAATTTGATATTAACACTGTTATTGTATCAACGTTTGAGCTAGTCATATCCAGAGAAATCAAAGTTTTATCATGACGTCATGTCACTGTTTTGCTGACCTACCATACTTTCAGTCCCTGAACCTTCGACACAACAAGCTCCAAAAGGAAGGAATCCCATACTCTCTGTTTGACCTGGAAGAATTGACCACACTGGATTTCTCCCATAATAATCTAGACAGTTGCCCTGAGAATCTACACAGAGCTAAGGCTCTACTGGTGCTCAACGTCGCTCACAATAGGTTGCTTTATTGTTGATTTATTGGAAGTTTTCAGTGAAAATTTTATGTGTTTTTTTCATAATATCACGATGTGCTGTGGATGTTGTTATTGAATTATTATAAAAAATAATAGTTAACACTTTTTCAGAATAAAAGAAGTTCCCCCGAGCCTGTTTACTCAACTCAAGTACATGCAGCACTTAGACCTTTCTAACAATCTCATTGGTACGTGACCTATAAAGTTGTTACGGTTGTTATTAAAGTTGTTAAATTCGTTAACTCCATTAAGGCCGTACCCTGCGGTTCTTCTAGTAGGAGTGAAGCCAGAGGAAACGGACATGGCTCTCAAAGTTACCTGATTGTTCTCCTTATTCTCCTTATTCTCCTTATTCTCCTTATTCTCCACTATATAAACAAAATAACCGTATTATTGTAGTTGAAATATTATTTAACAAAATCGTTTCTTCAGAGTACATTCCTCCACAAATCAGAAGATTACAACAGTTAAAATCTCTGAATATTTCATACAACCCTCTTCAACACGATCAGTTCAGGTTAGAAAAGTTTTTAACTCTCTCAATTTCTATATTGTAACATTTAAAGTATTGATCATTTTTTATATAGACAATTATTCTTATCAGAATGTTTGGTGGTTTAAGAGTTGGTATATAAAATTGACCCTGCAAACTTTAATTCGTATTTGACACGATCCCAAATAAGAAAGTCGCAACCTTCGTGTCAAAATTTAAACTTACGTTTATACAACAGGTCTCTCTCCGGATTAACTCAACTGGAATCTCTTAACATAGCTCATACCCAGGTATTTGGTTATCCCGACTTGTTGTTAAAACTTGGTATGTTAGTATAGGAGAGAATCAAATTACAAACATCACAATTCACAATACACATTCATTGCGCAACATTTCTCAACATTGGAATTGTATTTCGTCTACATAACCAGTGATGGTAAGTGATTACAATCGGAGAACTAACTTAGAAATCTACTGCATTTGTTTGCAAAATGGCACTGAAAAATAATGTGTATTGTGTAACCATGACAAAATAGTATGTAACCATGCCGAACCATGAAAACATAAAGTGTGTACTTTGTGCAAAATTATACGTAACCATGGAAATACAGAGGATGTGTGAAGGCGAGTATCGAGTGGTTTTATCAGATACGAGAGATGAGTTTGTGAGTATGAAGTGGGATGGAAGCATTTGGTTACCATGGCAACCCGCAACATATTTGTTAAAAATACACAGCACTAAAATAATTTTCTCTAAAAATTTGAGCGTCATAAAATTAATGTTAGTCTTTGCACAGTTTTAGCATCAAGGTAGTTGCAGTGTTAGGAAGAATTTTTCAAGATATCTAGTTCAGTGACTTCGACTTTACCAGTTTACCTTTTTTGTATTTTTGGATCGATGTTTAATTGCATCAAACGTATACTCCCGTCAATCATTTTAACACTAATTCCTATTAACAATTCAAACAAAACTTTTGCATATCGATCGTAATTTCAATTCAATTCGTCCCCAATAAAATGTAAAATTTGGAAAGTCATAGCTTTTAATTGTTAAAAGTTGAAATTTGGCATACACTGTTCTAATGGAATCCTCATTAAAATATAGAGCAAGATGAGATTTGATTCTGCTCAGTGTTCATTACCTAACGTTCTTACAAATCAACAGTCCTATTGTCACTGCCACCCCAATTGAAGTGATCACTCCCAACATGTACACCTCACTGCCTCGAGATAGAGCAACCCACGCAATTGAGGCTCCGAAGGCTGACGACATACAACTGGCAACGTTGTACCTAGTCGTTGAGCTTTCCCCGAGTCCGCTGTTCTTTAGGTTCCATTTCTTGTACAGAACAAATTTACTCAAAACTGTTAGATTGATATGACCTGCATCACCAAATCCCATCAAGGCCGTTCCAAGGATGATTTGGTACGGGTATTCAAGTATCTGGAACGAATCTGTGGTCGAAGCAATTGCTAAGAAGCAGCCTACGCAAAACGAAATATTGGCAAATAGCATGAGGTTAAAAATGCTAACGACTGCTTCGGCTATAAAACTGTATAGGAGAGCTCCGATAAGCGAAGTAAGGTTTACGGTATTATAAACCAGAACGGCTCGTCCAAGATCTTGGCTGTTAAATTCAACAACTCGTGATGGGAGAACATATGCCATGACGTAATACAAGAAATTATTTAGAAACAAATTTAAATCAAGTAAAAAAAGGGCCACTTTCCGTTTGCGTGATATTACAATGGACGATGAAGTTTGTTTTGAAATCTCGTTAGCTCTTCCTGTCTCTGAATGTTGGTGGGACAGTTTAAAGAGCGTGTTGTGTATCCGGTGGATAGCAGGAAGGAGCATAATGGGTAGGATGTTGATAGCTCCTAATACCAATCCGCAGAGAAGCCAGCCCCCTGCCAGAAAGAGCTCTGTTCCAACTATGTTGAATGTTATTGACGCAACCTGGATCGCGTTCGTTATCAGAACCATCAGCGACTTGTTGTCTTTCAGGTAGAGGTCTATTATTTCTCCCTGAAATGTACGAAAGATCAGACTTTGGCTGTCAGCTGTGTCGTGTTGTCCAATATTTGTACCCCAGAAATTTTTGCCCCTGTTGCCGTATTCCTCACTATTTTTTGAGGCTTGGGACATTTAAGGCCCGGGACATTTAAGTATTGTTATGGTTAGAATGTGAGTCATGGTTTGTATTAGAGGAAACATTGAGGAAACAATTTGTTAAATTATGTAATTAATCAGAAGTTATGATCTCACTTGCACAGCAGTAAAGAGCGCCCCAACCACTAGACCCTGAAGAGCTCTCACTAGGAAGATGATGCCAAATACACACCATCCTTCAGGATCCCATTGTACCGCAGCATCAACAACACTCAGCAAAGCCAAACAGATCAGGTTGAGGAGGAAAAGTACCAGATATCTGTGTATAAGAGGTTTTGATCTGATGTAGACTGGTAAATGCTGGTACAAGTACGGGCTTGCAGCTGACGTCACCAAGGTAACAGATATGCAGACTGTGCCTGGGGATTTCTTGATTCAGTAAATAAGCCGCATAATCATTCCTCTGTCATCAATCGCGCTTTTTTAATTATGAAGATATTCTAACCATCTATCCTGTCTTCAGTATGTGCATTAAACAGTAAAATATGTTACGTACCGATCGGTTTGTTGAGATTTAAGTCCAGCAAAAAGTTGATGAAAAATCCTGCTGGAAAAATTCTTGCTGTCACCACCATGACATTGCCCAAGAAGGCAAACAAAGTTATGATTATACATTGCTGTTTGCTTGGCTTCGGTTCTGAAAAACAATACATTTATTACCATGATTACCTTATGATACAATATTACCCTTTACCTTACTGAAATTTTGGTTACAATTCAAAACATATTATAGTAAAAATTGAGAAATGAGTGCTATACCTGTTATATCTCGTGAATCAGAGTATATTTCAGACTCCTTGAACTCTTTAATATTTGTAACAGGATTTTCTATGACCAGGTGTTTATCCAATGTCAAAACATTCTTTCTTGTGAAATTCTCGCCTTTATGATTCGACATTTCTGCTTGAGCCGATTGCTTTAATTATAAAGAAATTGACCAACATGAGCAAAGAATAATTGAGATAAATAAAATTGACCAACGATCAAGCAAAGTAATAATAGAATAATAACTAGAACGCAGATAAGGGGCCATCTACTTAGGGCGTCCACCAAAATCGCAGATTTTCAGACCATCCCCCTGTCCGGGTGTGTCCGAATTTTCAAAACCACCCCCTCCCCTGTCCGAATTTGTCCGAAATTCCAAAACCACCCCCTTCTCTATTTGCCGGACGCCCTAAGTAGATGACCCCTAACTGAATGAAGAGAGGGTATCACAATAATTGACTTCTGATTCGACATTTTCCGGAATCTTACCTGCTTAACCGGTATTTTTTACTGGAATCACAAGTGTTATGTCCGTACTGTGTTTTATCAATATCATCAGACGCCACTTTTTCAGGTACCCAAATATCTTTTGATATTCTTGACAGTACAATTACTTATTAATCATCTCTACCACGTATTGTATAATATGAGGTATTTTCAACTAATTACAACATTAACAAGAAATGCGGCCGCTTTTCTTTTGTGGATAACCGCTCAATTTCCCGATCCGTGATGACTTATTTTATTATATTCAATATAACCTGGGTCCCCAGTCTTTGCTGTTTATAAGATTAAGCATGCAGATCTATAGCGGAGTGACAGGCTGAGCGCCGCCCAGTTAATTCCATATTGAATTTAAAAATCGTGTCACCGTATGTTTATTGATTATTTTTATCGTTTATGCAACCTGACACGGATCTGTGCAAAATAGTAAATTTACTAACAATATAATAATAACAATATGCTATTAATTAGTGCCTAGTGGAATACGTATATATCATGGTGAAATTAACAATTTACTTGGTCAGTTCGCGGGCACGTATGTACGCACGCTCGCACGGTCGCGAAGCTACCATATACAAAAAAACCTCGTTCGCTAACCCTTGTCCTTGACTCTTTTGTGCCTTCGGCACTTTGAGTCATGGATCGGGAAAAAATCTATTACATTTTAAATTGACTACCTACCCTGCTACCCCTTCTAATGTTAGTCAAGCTTTTGCCATACATTATTCGAGCTGTCATGAGGGGTTAAATCCCAGTTTAGAAGTAGATATTTTAAGAATTGAACCCAATACTGTCAGAAGAAAGATTTTCGAAGCGATGTTTATTATTAATCTGAACCCTACAGTTAACAAGAGAGAAGAACTGGATACTATTAAACGTTTTATCATAGCTAGTACTGAAGAATTTTAGATATTTTAGTTTCATTCCCTTTTTATTGCATACAGTTTAAGTTTTCTAGCAGTAGTAAGTTTTAATGTTTTTTCACATCTCGCTCACAATCAGTAACCACTCACTATATTTTCACTCACATTGTGTATACACCATCTCACATGTATTGTATCTTTTACCTTATCTTCTGGTATCACTTACATCTTATCATCTGTTATCACTGTACATGTCATTCCATCACACGATCACAATCACGTACTTGCTGTTTAGTGGATGTTTTAAGTTTATTGAATAGCAGATCGAGTAGTGTTGTATATATATAGATTTTGATTCTAATTTTAGTCGAGTATTTGAACAATTTGTTGTCGTTTAGCCATTTTTGTTTAATAAATTTTATGAGACAGTTTTCTCACATATTTACCAATTTTGTCAGCATGAATAAGAAGTTGTTACTTTGAAACGTCGTTTATCCTAACAGTGCAATATCATTTGTCGCAAATCAGAATAATCAGAAACTATTTGGAAAACCCAAAAACTGTCTATTTTAAATTGAGGACGTTACAGAAGGAATTAATTTAATGTAGTTTGAGGAGTCCTCACTCTCCTCACGTCCAACAATGGCTAATATTTACACCACGTTCTGTATGAGGCATGCACAGGAGTGAACCAGGTCTAAAGTTGTCTAACGTGATTAACTTCTCATTACGGAACATGATAGATAAGGTAATACCTGGATCTCCATACTATACCGGTTTACCACCAATCTCTGAATCTCTAAACCGATTAAAATGCTGCGAAAAATCAAACAATTTATCAATTAACAGGGTGAACAATTTTTCGAGTCAGAAGAATTTCGAAAATTCGAATTTTTTTTTCGCAAAAAGTGATCAAATTGCATGAAACGTGGAGAAAACTGCTTTCGGACTGTTTTCATTTGCTTGCTCAACCTGAAAACAGACCGAAATAAAATAACATTCAAATATTCAAGTACTGCTGTAATTCATTAGATGAGGAGGTGTTCTAGCAAAATAGTAAGTAAAATTTTACAAATGTCGCCCCTTGTCGCTCCCGACAAGGGGCAGTGCACTATTTTGCGTACGAACTGGGACGATATTTCGTGTTATTCTTGTTGAGAACATCTACTAAATACAAGAGGTGTTCTAGCAGAAATCTAATTATTCAAACTTGATCCATGTCGGTGAATTAGTTCATAGATAAGTTGAATGTATGTACACCTCATCACACGTTTAATGTATGTAGCTTTAAATATTGCTAATTTAGTATTTCCCAATTAGCTCAGTCGCTTGTAGCATAAGGGTTCGGTTCGCGCGTTTTTTCCACAGTTTTTGCAATTATGAATAATTACTCCAATAATATAGATCTACTATGTATATACATCCAAACATTGTTACAATTGGGTTTTAGCCGTCGATTTGTGTAGATCAATACTTATTTTTGAATATTACTCCTCAGTTCAGAAAAAGAGCAATTCAATTTCATTATGATACATATATATACAGTATAATACACTTTGCTTTTAACCAACTCAACAACATTTGGAAGAATAAGAACATAAGCATTAACAACAAAGTGCGAATCTACATCGCAGCTGTTCTTACCATTCTGACCTATGGATGTGAGATATGGAACACGACTCAAGTGCAGACAAGAAGATTAGAGTCTTTCCATCAGTACTGCTTAAGAAGAATCCTGAGAGTGAGGTGGTTCCATCGAGTAAGTAATGAGGATGTTTTAAGAAGGGAATCAATAACTACTCTTGCTGACATAATAACAACAAAATGGCTGCGTTGGTTTGGACATGTCAGTAGAATGCCTGAAGATCGGTTACCCAACTATTTACTTGAATGGAAACCCAAGCATGGGAAGAGATCAAGAGGCAGGCCTAGGAAGAGCTTAAATGAATGCCGAAGTTGTATAATACAAAGTAATGACGCAGTCGACGCAGACTAATCCTTTTGGATGGAGATCTCGCCATGTAACATGTATGTGGGATGTATGTAATAATACACTGTCATAATATATCCTGAGCGACAACATATTGTAGACAGAACAGACAGGGCCCTAGCCCCTATCAGAGGCTCAGAGGCTATATTGTAGACAGAACAGACAGGGCCCCAGCCCCTATCAGAGGCTCAGAGGCTTTATTGGTGACAGAACAGACAGGGCCCTAGCCCCTATCAGAGGCTCAGAGGCTATATTGTAGACAGAACAGACAGGGCCCTAACCCCTATCAGAGGCTCAGAGGCTATATTGTAGACAGAACAGACAGGGCCCTAGCCCCTATCACAGGCTCAGAGGCTTTATTGTAGACAGAATAGACAGGGCCCTAACCCCTATCAGAGGCTCAGAGGCTTTATTGTAGACAGAACAGACAGGGCCCTAGCCCCTATCAGAGGCTCAGAGGCTATATTGTAGACAGAACAGACAGGGCCCTAGCCCCTATCACAGGCTCAGAGGCTTTATTGTAGACAGAACAGACAGGGCCCTAACCCCTATCAGAGGCTCAGAGGCTTTATTGTAGACAGAACAGACAGGGCCCCAGCCCCTATCAGAGGCTCAGAGGCTTTATTGGTGACAGAACAGACAGGGCCCTAGCCCCTATCAGAGGCTCAGAGGCTATATTGTAGACAGAACAGACAGGGCCCTAGCCCCTATCAGGGGCTCAGAGGCTATATTGTAGACAGAACAGACAGGGCTCTAGCCCCTATCAGAGGCTCAGAGGCTATATTGTAGACAGAACAGACAGGGCCCTAGCCCCTATCAGAGGCTCAGAGGCTTTATTGTAGACAGAACAGACAGGGCCCTAGTCCCTATCAGAGGCTCAGAGGCTATATTGTAGACAGAACAGACAGGGCCCTAGCCCCTATCAGGGGCTCAGAGGCTATATTGTAGACAGAACAGACAGGGCCCTAGCCCCTATCAGAGGCTCAGAGGCTATATTGTAGACAGAACAGACAGGGCCCTAGCCCCTATCAGAGGCTCAGAGGCTTTATTGTAGACAGAACAGACAGGGCCCTAGTCCCTATCAGAGGCTCAGAGGCTATATTGTAGACAGAACAGACAGGGCCCTAGCCCCTATCAGGGGCTCAGAGGCTATATTGTAGACAGAACAGACAGGGCCCTAGCCCCTATCAGAGGCTATATTGTAGACAGAACAGACAGGGCTCTAGCCCCTATCAGAGGCTCAGAGGCTATATTGTAGACAGAACAGACAGGGCCCTAGCCCCTATCAGAGGCTCAGAGGCTTTATTGTAGACAGAACAGACAGGGCCCTAGCCCCTATCAGAGGCTATATTGGTGAACCTTATCCCAGTAATACACTCATTTGATTTCAGCAGTTATTTGGTTTGCAGATATTTGCCGATAACTACGTTAACCATTTGACATGTCTTTGTGTGAACAAGTTTTCTCCGAACAGTATAATTTATCGATGTTAATTTCCTAGCGCACCTAACTTTTGAGCTATTTCGGATCTGAACATCTACTGATAATATTATTTTTGTAGAGTTTTATGTAACGCGTGACACAAGTTATGAGTACTTTTTGTTACAGTCAACATCAGAAATTTGAGCCGCGCACGTACGTCCACAAATAAAATATATTAAAAAGCACATGTGTTTGTTTTCATTCTTTACAATTGCACCAAGATACATATTATTTCATTGTGTGAAGCCGAGTAGAGTTGTACAAGAGACATATCCTCAAAAATATCACACAATATGCATGGGTAAAAGTTTTACCATAATCTGTCTAGACCACAATAACAAAGACACACAATTATTAAGAAAGTCCATTGTAAACTATCTTATTTCGATAATGAGTTTAATGACATGATATAATATTTCATAATCGGGTTACAAAAAAACTGAGTATGTGCCATTTCAGAGAGGGATCAACAATATACCATCGGAGTTTGATAAGCTTGCAAGTTTGACCGAGATAGATCTATCCTACAACAAACTGACCCGCGTACCCGAACCAGTATATCGGCTGGAGAATCTGAAACGAGCCAACTTTAGTCACAACGAAATCAGTGAAATGTCCTCGCTTACTGGTAAGAGAAATTTTGAAAATATAGCCAATTCAGGTCGTACCGTACGAGTACATCTAATAAAAACCTCCATACTTCCAAAGTTTAGGAGCTTCCTAGGAAATTTAGGTGTGACCATAATGAATTCTCGTCACAATTCGTGAAATGTTTGTTAACGTTTTCGAATCGTGCTGTATAAAGTTCGGTAACCACTGAATATTCAGAATTTAACCATCATTATATTTCCAATTTGCTTCAGAATGTTGGACTGAACTAATAACTCTCAACTTAACTGAAAACAAGCTGAAAGACATTCCAGTAAGTTTGCACTTTAATCCTTATTTAAATTCAAGTATTGTGTTTGGTTTTAGCACTACTATATACTGTAAAGATTGGTATGTTACTATGTGTATTTTAAATTTCAGGTTGTGTAAACGTATTTCTATTGTTATTTTGCACTGTTGACGAATAAAATTTCAGGCATGTATCTGTAAACTGACGAAGTTAAAAAGGCTATATCTTAATGGTGAGTGAGAACAAATTCTTTTAGTCATCCTATTTAATACCCCATGGTTACAAATTTGTGCGTTTCGTATATTGCAAAGATTTGTGACAATTCTAAAGCCACATGCAAAATATCCAGTTCGGAATAAATATTTTGTTCATATTAGCTGGATCATTATGCCGATTTGAATGTCGTCTCTGACTAATGCACACAAACAGCCAATTTAAAACAAAATTCTTCTTTGAGTAAGTATTAAGCAATGACATAAGATCATATAATATCAAAATAACTCATAGCTAAAATTCATTTAGAATTTAATGTTGTAGTATTCGGCAGTTGATTGGTGAGAGGTGGTAGCTTTAAGATAGGAGCAGTAAAGTTTATCACCAGCTCATATAAAAACAACTGTTTTACTATTCTCATTGCCTCCCATATTTACGTTCTAATTTATGCCCCTTTACGCTTGATAAACGTAAGTTAAATTGGATCTGTTACCAGGTCATTTTTTACGGTAAGTGGCAAGGTTCTCGAATGGCCATTAATAAGTATAGGGTTTAGATATAGGTGCATTGTGCAATGCATGCATCAACTAGCCTCTATTATTCCAGAATTATTTAAAGCATATGACATATCGTTGTTATCTGCTATTCCAAAATAAGAGTTTTATGAAGGAGCTCACGAGTGTTTTACGTCACTGGTATTTCGATTTCCTCCCAGTTACACTTACAGACTTACGATCATCAACGGTATCATATTCAGTCAGATACTGTTACTCGATGTCAGAATACTGTAGGGATCTTACTCGGATTTGAGACAATTCTTACTTTGAGTACAAAATTTAGTTCGCTGGCATCATTTTACTCTATGATCAAACACACTGTCCTTCAGTTCTAGGTAATGTTTCTCCGCCGTGTGACCTTACAGCAAATTTCAAACTACTGTCTACTCTCAGAGTCATTTTCCTTCCGTACTTTCTTGTTGAAGATGAACCATGCATCGTTTGCTTGAGATTCAAGCTTATTCATTTAACGTCTAGTTTGAGAGTATTTATCAACAGTTTCTGCTTGTATAATTTTACAGTTTACATCGAGAACAGATTTACATCGAGCACGATTTACATAGACAACAAAGATTGTAATAACTTTTCAGATATCTAATAATAAGTTTCAATTGATTTCAGTTCAGGATGTCTATAACGGTTGGAGGGGCAGAGCTCGTTGATGAAGTCATAATTGTATTCCTTGTAATTTTCCTGATCTGCTCTCTATGCTTCTGTTGGAGTATCTGCTGGAAGTGCGGTAAGCCTCCGCGAGCCTTAACGTACCAATCGAAAAAACCCGACAAACCTGTATCTGTGCAGACAAACAGCTTCAAGAGGGTCCCTGATGTGCAGAACAAAACCACCAGTATGCCCAAATATAGTCACTCTGCTGATGTACCCGATATAACTGTCAAAAATGGAAAAAACCCCGATCTAGCCAGGGATGTCCATAACCCTGATGTGTTCATACGTGGCCATCATCCCCATATGTCCAAAGATAGCCAATATCCTGATATATCTAAAGATTACCACCACGCAGATATGTCCAAAGATTACCACCACGCAGATATGTCCAAAGATTACCACCACGCAGATATGTCTAAAGATAACCACCACGCAGATATGTCCAAAGATTACCACCACGCAGATATGTCCAAAGATTACCGCCATGCAGATATGTCCAAAGATTACCGCCACGCAGATATGTCCAAAGATTACCACCACGCAGATATGTCTAAAGATAACCGCCACGCAGATATGTCCAAATACGACCACAACGTCAATGTGCCAAAGCAGTATCACAGCGCCACAATGCCCACCCAAGCCATCCACCCTACCGCACCCAATAATGGTGATAATGCTATAATGTACGCAGAAAAGTACGCAGCACAACATCCAACTGAGACTACTGTGGAGAATCTTAGTAGATTCAGGATCCCTACAGCTACGTTTGAGAGGATGGATTCAACAACTGTTTGATAAGCACGACTCGCTATTCATTATATTGCTATTGGTTCTATGGAAAATAGTATGAACCGTACGTGCAGGACACATCTTACTACCAAAATAATCCCATAATTAATTAACCGACTATGAATTTCCGGCAAAGTTCCTGAATATGTATCACGTGACAAATTATTGTGTTTTTAGCTTTGAGACAAATTTCGTGGTTTAAAAGTACATATGTTTTAGTCAAGCTTTTTATTTGCCGGTAGATTGATTCTTTTAGACTCGAGCGACTCCGCGAGAATTTTCAACTTCCTTTACTCCGATCTAGAAAAAGAAGATATGTCAGAAGTGCAAGTGTGACTCCTTTTCGATCAGTTAATTGGATGCAATTAAATCTAGGACCCTACTGTTTTAATAGTTTGATTTTGTAATTATAAAGTATTTGAGTGTATCAGTAATTCTTGATATAAGAGTGCCGTTATTTGTGTGCAGGTCAAGCAGTAATTTTATTTTAAGGTGATAATGACGTCACGTGCCCTAATGACGTCACGTGCCCTTAAACTAGATATCAGTTAAGTGAGACGTATCGTCAACTAATTAGTTAATATTCCCGAGTTGTTGTATGTGTAATTACTGATATTTGATGCCTTGCGCTGCTCCATTATTGACCTATTATAAGGTCATGATATTTTTGTCCAATAGGACTCAGTTTATCTAAAGTGTTAAGTATTGCCTACCTTTTTCTCAAGCGTTAACCGCATTTTATAATGACCCTGAATTATCAGTCTTACTATGAACACCAAGGATTGGTCGGTTGGTTGGCACATTGTTTGTTTTTTTACTTCTTGTGATTTTGTAAATAGAACTGTTTTACTTTTTTGGTTTCTTACATCCCGTAACGGTATAAAAGTAAAGTGAGCGCGACTTAACGCTTTTTTCATGTGATATAGAAGCTTTTAAACTAAAAGGCGAGCCAAATAACATTCAGTACTCCTCCGCAGTACTTCCGATTAGTGGCGGATATACTTTTCACACACTCTAGAATGTTATTGCTAATTAGTAATTAAGGTAATTAGCTCTTCCTTATCTCTACTCATATTACAAGTGCTGTTGAGTAGATAAGATGGCTTGTTGTATCACACTATACACTATACACGGACTATACACTATACACTATACACGGACTATACGTCAGAGGAGTACATCAAGAAGTGTTTTGCTCAGCAACATGGATAACAGTTCTCAGAACAATTTATCCGGGGTATGATATGTGGGAGAACTTTGTAATGGAGAACTTTAATTGATACGCGTTTAAAGTAGGTTTAGTGACGAATAAGAAGTAAAAGTGCTGTTGTATCTGAAGTCATTTTTAACACATCTACTAGGAAGAAAAAAGGGCGGACTTTATAGATACGATTTTTTGCTTTCACTAATGAGTTTAAGAATAGGCGAGGTCGTCATGATAAATTTAACTTTTGATATCTGACCTCAAATTTCGAGGAACTTTTCAAATTTTTGCCATAAAAAGAAAAAGCAAGTAGCGAGCGTTTGCTATTACTTCGGTGCTAGTACTTCGGTGCCTTATCAGATTATCAACCGGGATTTATTTTAATCATTATTATGCTTCATTAACATTAGGGCAGAGTAAGTTAATTTTTTATTTGAAAATTCAATTAATTATTATATATTTATCAAGCGTTACATTTCAGCCATGCAAAATTACAATGACATATTTTGATAAACTAATTGATAAAACTGCAATATAAGTTGCTTATTGTGTGGCTGGATGACAACTTACTACACTAGAAAAATAAACTTGATTATATTATAATTAAAATCAGCAAATACTGCATATATACAGGTTTTCCCAAAAGTTTATATTTTGAAGCTAAAGTTTTCATGGTTAGTATGTCAGTATGTGATCGTAGGTTTGTCAAAGGTTTGAGCTTTCTTTGTGAACCCTACTCAGGTTCTCCGTTGTCCGGCTGTTAGGATTGTTAGAATATGGATCACATCCCAAATGATACGTCACTGATTGGGCCATGTGATGTGATACCTGTGGGAGCCCGGAATGAGAGGTTCTTAGTTGTCGGTCACCGAGCAGGACCCTTTTACTTATGTTTGAGGCACTTGGTACTATATTACTAGGTCATTTCATTTTGTAACGCTTGAATATTAAAAGTATGAGATCACGTTGGGCAGTTAGCATAAACATACCTTATGTTTTGGTATTCTGACATCCAGTTTTTGGAAAAAGCGCCAAGAAATGTGTTTGTGTCCTCATTCTCAAATTAGAACCCCCACAGATAGCACATACACCCCTTAACAATTCTCGGAAATGTTCTCTTTCAACCGCCGCGCAGGGGTCATATTATTATACAATATCATGTCATGCTTTAGTTATAGTGTTTTCAATCGAAAGTGGTTCCTAAGATCACAGGAAATAACACAATTATATCTTCTTGTTTTCATGTCTTAGTTTAATAAGATCCTTAGATCAACTTCAGAGTCCAACCCAGACTGACAACACTTGTAACTAACTCTCTTCCGTACGTGTTGAACATAATAATAATCACGGTGCCTTTGTAACACCCTTCTTACGACAATCCACATGGCCAAAGACGTCATTGTAGTGTATAATTAGCATTTCAGGAACCGATAATTAAACTCTCGGTCAGTGTTAGGATAGTTGGTTTACTTGGTTAACTACAAGATGCATCATCTGGCCTGGTCCATTATTCATTGCTGCTCGAACATGTTGTCCCGGTTCTTGAACAGCGCTCAAACATGTTGTCCTGGTTCTGGAACAGCGCCACATCAACTGTTATACACCCTCAAACACCCAAACCGGAAGGAGAAAGGGAACTGGAGTCTTGTCTTCAATTAGTAGTACAGTCAGTACAAGTACTAACTACAGTGTGTAATACCGTATATCGTGTAGTTTATACGACTAACATTATATATTCAACTTGCACCAGTGCTATACGACAAATTCTCGCAAGTAATTTGTGACATGCATAGCTTTTGACAGCTAGTTTACACACGTTGTTACAACACATTGGTTTAGCACGTGTATTTGTTAACATTAAATCGTGTATTTTTGTTGATTGTTCTTTTTCGACACGTGAATTATTTCCAACTTCAGACAGTGTCGTCCCTTGATTGCTGGCAGTTTTAATTGTTCCTCTTTTCTTCTTCGCAGTCTCCGGTGATGATCCGTCCTATTGTGTGTACTTGTTATATGACGGATGGTAACAAGGTGGCTGTGTACATGTACTATTATCCGTTTGTCCAAGCGGCTGGTGTTGATTTTGTTGTGCTTTTTAAAAAGTAAACAATTTCAACATCTAGCAGGGGAGTCTGACGAAGATCGAGTAGACGTTAAATAGCTGTTACTGTTTCAAATAGTCTTATCAGCTGCTTCCACTTGTCCATCAACACGCTCGCAAATGTTTAAAATATGTGTGTATTATACAGTCGCCTTACTTTTCCGTCGTTGCAATCGGTTGTAAGTCACGACCATTTGTTTCTTCATCGACGAGGTGTAGTGATAGATGTTATTGTTAATCGATGAGATCGTTATTATACTTTGTTAGTTAATTTGGCAATCATTTGTTTATTTACTCATCTTTTTGTTTACCGCTGTTTAATAATAGTCACACTCGTATATTAGCTATCAGTGTAACGTTACTCTAAGTTTTACGTGTAATTAAGTGTACCACTCTCAGTGTAACGTTACTCTAAGTGTTACGTGTAATTACCACTCTCAGCGAAGAAACCAGACATGACAACATGATGTGTTATTGTAACGCTCTCTCAGTAGCCAGGATAGCACCTCTTCCTTTCTCCACTACACATAGCGTACACCACACTCCTTCTTCTTCCAACTTTCATAAACCAAGATAAACCTACCCTCTTATTTTCAACTAATCCGGAAACCTCCAGAATAATCCGGAAACCTCCAGAATAATCCGGAAATCTCCAGAATAATCCGGAAATCTCCAGTCAGTGTCAGGTGATCATGTCGTCAGGCGAGAAAGAGAAGAGTAACGTGTTGTACTACATTTCCTCCTCCCCTACCCCCACCACCATCATCATCATCGTTATCATCCTGTTGATTGTAATGGGTGCGTTTGCTCTGTCAGTCACCTGCTACTGCTACACCGTGCAGGATTCAGAAGCCCAACTATGCCCGTTTAATGAACGGTTTAATCCCGCACTGCAGCCCCAATGTTTCTCTCCCCAACACTCCAACCCTTCCCCACCAGTCCTGTCCTCCTCTTATGAGGACCACTTCAGACAGGGTTATCTCCTCTCACAGACTTTCGGTGTCATTAAAACTGAGGAGAGCGTTATCTCTAGATGAGATTGTAACGATTGAGCTTCCTGATAGTGTTGTATGTGACAGTGACAGAGGTGACAGCCAGGACATCTCGCCAGACTCTTCATCATCAGACTCCGTAGAGAGTGGACTTGAGAGAGTAGACTCTAGAGGTTCCGTAGAGAGTGGACTTGAGAGAGTAGACTCTAGAGGTTCTGTAGAGAGTGGACTTGAGAGAGTAGACTCTAGAGATTCTGTAGAAAGCGGACTCGGGAGGTCGGGAGAGACCTCAAAAAGCCATATTTTACTGAACTGTGAGCGGTATGTGAGCGTTATTCGGAGTAAAGGGTCTAGTCCGATTAACGATGAAGTGATCATCCATAATGAGAGATCATTAACACCCTCCTTCTCCTCGTCTTCATCGTCATCACTTTACTTGAAACATGTTAAATACAAGGAAACACCTCAATCTTCAGAACATAATTATACACCGCCAAAACGAGTGGATTCCAGGAGAACTAGAGTCCTCCCTAAAAACCAACTAGAATGGTCTGACGAGGCCACGGATGATGAGGTGAAGGGAAGGAAGCGAGATCTTTGTTACAGAGGACTTCTAGAATAGTCCCCCCTCACCTTCAAGCCAGAAATATAGAATGGACGGATGATACGGATCTAGATATCAAGGAGAACGAAGTGTTACCTCGTGATAGCGAGATCCTAATGTCGTCTGAAAAAGATGTTTTGTCGCTTGTTAATCAGGAATCACCTGTAATTCGTCATTTTGTTGATTCATCCGATGACGAATATCACTCGACACACAGCGATATATCTGTCGAAGATTTGTCAAAACTTTCCAGTGAACACAACAACATATCAGCTCATATAGACATGCCTAGACAAGCTTCAGGAACTACAGCGCTTGAAAATAGCGAAGATATCACATTTGTCAGTGATATCAAAGCTAACGGCGATGTGAATTTACCTATCGAAGATTTGAAACCGAGTGATAATATTAAACCAGTGAAGCTTGTTAAATCTTATTCCAGCTCCAGTTCAAAATCTGGTAACCTAGCCTCAAATAGTTTGACAATTCCTACCAAACACTTGGTTTTGTGACCTAACACTTGGTTTTGTGACCAACTGAGCAGGTTTTGTGACCAACTGAGCAGGTTTTGTGACCAACTGAGCAGGTTTTGTGACCAACTGAGCAGGTTTTGTGACCAACTGTTTTGTGACCAACTGAGCAGTAAGCACGGATATTTTAAACGCTATGTTTTGATTTTATGACACGCGCTATGAGCTGTGACATATTATTATTATTATTGTTTTTTTAATGGTTAATAAATGCTAACGAACTTATCAAATGTTGTAAAATTGTGTTTCTTTGCAATTTAATGAAATTACAACTGATAATGAATTGATGATCAATTTATAAGTTAAGATTAATTAAAAAGTTAAGATTAGATTAAGTACCGGTAACTGCACGTGCATTGGTGGAAGTTTCAAGCAATAAGGGAATAAACTAGAACAAGATTAAGTCACTGCCCAAAATATACTGAGTATGAGTATGCTGATACTTAGCTAGCACAGGTCCACGTTCCCAGCAAGGTTTCTTGGTGGTAGAAACCTGCCAGCTAAACCTGGATGCAAAAAAATGTGGTGCATTTGGGCAAGAAATGAAATGTCATACACAGATCACACTCTGGTAAAATTCGTCGTGTTTTGATCCCTGCTAACTCCCTGGACTCCACTTAAATGTTAACAGTAATCTGTTCAGGTAATCAGATCACGTTTGAAGGAGTACCCTCCCTGATTGGAAAACTTCAAAACCTGGTTAGTACCCACTGTCCAATGCATGCCTTGAGAAAAGTTAAGTGTGCAGATAACATAATATTGTGCAGATATGATTCATTTCAGTTTGTTCCCAAAAAATGTGGATGTGCAGTTAGAATTGCTCTTGTGCAGGCAACAGCCAACAAGGTTAAGGTTTTTTCTACCCACGGCCACGGTCCAATGCTCATAAGCTTATAATATCATCTACGATACCCCTTAATATTTGTTCAGAAAGGTAGCCATTAAGTACATCTTCAATTGTTTTCTCGTTAACAGTTCATAATTCTTCTTTTGTCGGTGTTTGCAGGCAACCTTATAAATCTCCGCTGCGTTCCTTCTCAGAACAAGACAGTGAAAAGTGTACGAACTAACGACTAGTGCGTTTGCAAAAGTTTGAACTATGTACAATTTATATACTATATAGTTCAGTTAATCTGTCCTGGTAATTGGTTTCTCCATTTCAGGAAGTGTTCATGGCAGCTCGCAACCTCCTGACTTGCATTCCTGACAGTTTATGTAAATGTAATAGTCTCAAGCAGATGAACCTGAGTGGGAATCAGTTGGTGGCTCTTCCAGCCAGCATCTGGGAACTTAAACAACTCAAGGTCAGAGACAACTCACTTTTTATAATTATGTAAACATTTTGACGATAAATTCTTTCTTTTTCTTTCGTCGAAACTCAAACATTAATTCAGTTTGGGGTCACGACTAAACATTAAAAACAGCCTCAATACTCAATACACGAAAAGAAACGGTTTCTGTCATTAAGATTTGAATTCCTCCTCCAGAACCTGAATACAGACGATAACCCAAGTCTGGTCATGCCGGATAAACCTCCGCCGGAAGTCAAGGGAAGTGGAGCTGAGTTTTATAATGTGGACTTTTCTCTCTACAACCAACGAAAAGTTGCCGGACTTAAACCTTCAGCCGAGACAATGCCTCAGAGTAAGAACTAGATCTTTAGATAAAATAGACGATGTTTCTATGCTAATAGGGATGATCAATCTTAACACTAGAAGCTATGTGTATGTTTTATTTTATCTGGCATTTATTCGCCTGTTGTTTCCAGAAGATAAAGAGGCAGAAAGGAAGAAACTCCGTGCTAGACTGAGAATAAAACAAGCTCAACTTAAAGGAGAGGAAGAGGGTAGCAGTAAAGACAGCAGTAAATTCCTCAAGGTAAACATGGCACATTTATGTGTTCATAATTAATTAACTTCAGTATTTAAACCTTCGTATTCGGCTAAAAAGCTTGATTCAATACAACTTCTAGAATTCCGTGATTCATAATATCAAGTGCGGATGAAACTTCTCGGTCACATTTTATAGCTTTAACTAAATTGGGCAGTCCCTACGTGTAAACATTGTCGAGACAACCCCGCCCTTACTTCATCTGTAATAATGTTTTCTATTCCTGTGACCATGGCTCTCCTCATGGCTCTCCTTCATCTGTAATAATGTTTTCCATTCCTGTGACCATGGCTCTCCTCATGGCCCTTACTTCATCTGTAATAATGTTTTCTATTCCTGTGACCATGGCTCTCCTCAGGGTATGTCCGAGTATAAGGAGGCCCTTACTTCATCTGTAATAATGTTTTCTATTCCTGTGACCATGGCTCTCCTCAGGGTATGTCTGAGACAACCCGGCCCTTACCTTATCTGTAATAATGTTTTCTATTCCTGTGACCATGGCTCTCCTCAGGGTATGTCCGAGTATAAGGAGGCCCTTACTTCATCTGTAATAATGTTTTCTATTCCTGTGACCATGGCTCTCCTCAGGGTATGTCTGAGACAACCCGGCCCTTACCTTATCTGTAATAATGTTTTCTATTCCTGTGACCATGGCTCTCCTCAGGGTATGTCTGAGTATAAGGAGGACTCGGGAAGCGTGTCAACCTACCTTTCTTCACGAGCCAGACTTAACAAGAATGAGAATGAGGACGAGGAGAGAAAGCTGATAAAACACAAGAAGTGGACGGATGCTCTGACGAAACCAGCGCTGGATTACTCGGAACTGTTCCCTGAAGTTGTAAACGGTTCAGTTGGACAGGTTAGTTGACTCTGTAATGAGATTCAAGATTGGCAACATTTCCCATAACTCAAAGGTTGTGGTTGGTATTGCTCCCATTAAAACTTTCCTTGTGTTTCAGGAGGAAGGTCTGTATATGTGGAGGATAGATAACTTCCTGCCTTTGCTGCTAGATGATGCTGTCGGGCGATTCTACGAGACTGACTGCTACATTATCCTTCATGTAAGTGGCTACTTCTCTTCTTAGTATGAGGGAAGTTATGTCGAAATGTCGGAATCCCGAAATAGACGTTTTAAGGCTTTGTATTGATGAGAAAATGTCATTCAAACAATGTATAAAGATAATTTCAGCAATGGTCATTTTCCAGCTATAAGGTTAGACACCCTCAACAATAAACAAATCATTTAATGAATTCAATAGACCGGTAAAAGTTTTAAAAATCTGAGTGGAATCTATAACAACCCCCTTTTCTTTGTTATAAATGCAGCCCATTATAGGCTCTAAGACCTAAGTTTATATCTAAATCTGCTATTATCAAAGCACTACTACTTTTTATACTCTTTCCTTTCTAAGCTGAAGAGCAATAACCGTTGTTCTCAATTGGTCGAATCTTTTTTTTGCTGATAAAAGTCACTGCTTCACTAATCACTGTATATTTGATAACAGTCAAGAAGCTAACTTCTTAAAAAAAAGATATTCGACTCTTCCCATTCCACCTGTAACAGTGTATTCACCTACCTATGTATTGTTTGTATTATATAACATGTAACTTGTCTAAAGCTTAGTGTATATAACATGTAACCTGTCTAAAGCTTTCTGTTCAGTAGGATTCCAGCATTTTATCAGATTATCCTCTCCAGGCGAATCAGAGGGACAATCTGCCCGGTCTACAGTACAACATCCACTTTTGGATTGGAGCCAAATGCGAGATAGACAAGAAAGCCTGCGCTGCAATCCACGCTGTGCACTTGCGAAACATGCTCGGTTGTGATAATAGGTAGGTAGTGAGGAGTGACTAGTGACTGGTAACTATGACTGGTTACTAGTGACTGGTTACTAGTGAGGAGTTACTATTTATTGGTTACTATAACCTTTTTATTTAAGAAAAGTAATACTTTTTTTATATTATACACATATATCATATTTATTTTCCCCGTGAGTTTTAAATACCTGCTAATTAACTCGTGCTTTATTATTTTATATAGTTTGTATATTATTACATAGTTTTGAAAATTTCATCACATTTTGCTCTGCCCTACTAGTAAGAATTTGAAGAATTTAAATTTCAAGGGACATTAAATTTTCAACAGCTTAGAGTTCAAGACCCCTACATTATTATTGTTACATTTTATCTAGTATATTGCTTTCTCAATAAGTGGTGACCGCTGGCTTTCTAAAATAAAGTGACAGAGGCTCCTCTTACAACCAGTTCTTTAGCAGGTTCCATCTTTTTTTAAACTTGTTTATTCAGGACGACAAGAGAAGAGCAAGGTGACGAATCAGACGAGTTTATACTATATTTTGACGGTGATATAGAGGTGTTAGAAGGTGGTAGTGAAAGTGGTTTCTTCCAAGTAGAGGAGACTATTTACGTTAAGAGATTATACAAGTGTCACGGTCAGAACAACGTGCTTCTCGAGCCAGTAGAGATACACGTAGACTCCATAGGTAAATATTACTCCTCACTATTCACTCAGTTCATTATTATGACTAAACAGTTGTGTGTCTTTCTCTTCGAACTAACTGTGGTTTCTGTAAATGTGGTTTCTTTGAGTTAGGAGACTCTGTACATATCACCGGTTCATATTAGCAGTCAGTTAATGTTATATATTTATGTCTCTATCTGAGCTGGCTGTGGTTTTTGTGGCCACACATTGGAGGGAGGAGCCTGAGGTTTTTGCGTGTTATTTCACAGCTGGCCAATAGCTTGTTATAACATACTAACACATATTAACACATATTAACACATATTAACACATATTAACACATGTGTCACGTGACAATGATTTGTCCTCCAGATCACAGACACTCCTACCTGCTGGATGATGGTATGGATATTGTAGTGTGGTTTGGGAAACTCAGCAAACTCACCCAGCAGAAGAAAGCAACCCTCTTTGCGGAGAAGATCAACAAATTAGAGAGGAAGAACAAGGCTAAGTAAGATGACTAATATGAATCGTTTGCTGATTTCAAAATTGTAGCAAGGACAGTGTGTGTCATATTTAAGTATTCTCCTAAAAATTGTCGGAACTACACCCTGTTACTTTCCGAGTTAAACATGGAACCAACAGGATAACTGTTATTACAAAGTACGAATCAGAGAAGCAGCAGCTTTTCTTCAGCATGCTGGAGGGAGACGCTTCAGTTATATCTGAACCTGCTGGCGAGAAAGTTGAGGACTACGATGACGCTTACTCTGTTCCTACTCCTAAACTTTACGAGGTACTGTAACCGATAGCCCGTAGTATTAGTTTATTTAGTGGCGAAAATTTTTTAAAATTGTCCAGAGAGTGTCCCTTAACAGATTCGAACTGTGAACCTCTGGTTCGCGAGGCGAGTGCTGATACCACTGCACCACGTGACCGTGTGTCAATTCTTCCAGGTTCACCTAGGAGTTGGTTACCTAGAACTACCTCAACTGGAGTTTTCAGTGAACCGCCCAATGACGCAGCAGATGTTAAGGACACAGAGGGTTTATCTTCTTGACTCCTTCACTGACGTATTTGTGTGGGTCGGAGCTCATAGTGATAGGTACTGTTCCTACTCTTTACCAAAAATTGTATGAAGCTACACAAATCTCAATAACCAAGAGCTAATAAAGCAGTGAACCTCGTAGTCAAAAATAATCTCCAATCCTTGCCAGGTTGTTACGCGCTGCTGCCGCTAAACTCAGCATAGAGATACTGAAGATGATCAAGCGACCTGCTACTGCTATTGTCAACACTTGCTTCGAAGGTGAGTTCTATATCGTTAAGAGGATGGTGCTTACATTATTTCAAATGTATGCCCGTGAAATTTGGATTGGAATTTAACTCTGTCGAGTCCGGGTGTCAGTGCTAGCTTATGCTGAAGGCATATCGGCTTTCAAATGGCATAGAATACTTCCCCAAATATTGAAAATGGTTATGATCCTCCCACTACACCACCAAATTTTGTTGGCAAAAAATTATAAAAAAAATAATTAACGATATGTTTTGCAGGTGTAGAAAGTGCTATGTTCAGGTCGTTCTTCCACAAGTGGGACGATATCGTAGCAGTCGACTTCACACGTGCGGCCGACAAAGTCATTGCAGCTGCCAACACAGTGAGTTCAAAAACAAGGAAATATTTCGTGAGATTTAATCCGATCTTCAGCGAGAACGCATATACTGTTGCATGATCTAGATGTGAATTTGTTGAGTTGTAAATATTGATTAACTTTTTGGAATGAAATATGATTTGCATGTTCGTAGGTTGAAACTTTGAAAGTGGCGGTAAGTGGAGTGGAAAATCTGGGATTTTGAGTTGAGCTTGTGATTTGTTCGGGAGTTTTTATTTATTTTTTACATACCTTCTTTAAAACACTTTCTGTATATTAATAAAAGTGTAAATTTTCCTCAACAAGATAAACTGGTTCTTTTGCGATAGTCAAAACGCGACAACTAGCGCTGGATGGCGACAACTAGCGCTATCCAGCGCTAGTTGTCGCCATCCAGCGCTAGTTGTCGCTATCCAGCGCTGGATAACGCTGGCCAGCGCAAAATATATATGTTCGATAATTGTCGCTATCCAGCGCTAGTTGTCGCCATCCAGCGCTAGTTGTCGCCATCCAGCGCTAGTTGTCGCTATCCAGCGCTAGTTGTCGCTGGCTATGCGACACTGTCGCACGCGATAGTTTGCGATGGCCAGCGCAACTGGCCATCGCAGAAAACAGTTCGATAACTAGCGCTGGATAGCGATAACTAGCGCTGGATAGCGACAACTAGCGCTGGCCAGCGCTGGCCAGCGCTAAGCGATAGCCAGCGCTGGCCAGCGCTGGCCATCGATATCCAGCGCAAAATTTTTGCGCTATTACTCGTCAGCTAGCGCTGGCCAGCGCTAGCCAGCGCTAGTTGTCGCTATCCAGCGCTAGCCAGCGCTGGCCAGCGCTAGTTGTCGCTATCCAGCGTTAGCCAGCGCTAGCCAGCGGTAACCAGCGCTAGCCAGCGCAATGTATCAAAATCATATACTTGCGATATTACTCGGATGATGATTAATCACTTTACACTTGACTGTCACGTGCCTTTTTTAACCCATTCTCTGACTCTAGCTGGTTCTGAACGACTTTTCGAAACCCCAACCCTCTAATCTGATCCCAACCCTAACCCTAACCCAATCCTTAACAAAAACATATGCTGAAACCCTAACAATAACGAGAAATTAGACTAACTTCCTTATACGGTCATATCACGTGATCGATACATGTACAGTTTTTCGCCAATATCTCGTCAGGAGAGCATTTTAACCGGAACCTTATGTCATGGGCCCATGGGGGTTGATTCGGAATTAGCGTCCGAAAATACATCGATTGAAGTTGGACACAACCATCGGGGGCCCTTTTAGAACAATCTCGAAGATCGACTGTAGAGTGATTTAGCACGCTCGATATTAGTATTACTCGTCAGCCAGCGCTGGCCAGCGCAATATAGTTGCGATATTACTCGTCAGCTAGCGCTAACCAGCGCTGGCTAGCGCTGGCTAGCGCTGGCTAGCGCTGGTTAGCGCTAGCTGACGAGTAATAGCGCAAAAATTTTGCGCTGGATATCGATGGCCAGCGCTGGCCAGCGCTGGCTATCGCTTAGCGCTGGCCAGCGCTGGCCAGCGCTAGTTGTCGCTATCCAGCGCTAGTTATCGAACTGTTTTCTGCGATGGCCAGTTGCGCTGGCCATCGCAAACTATCGCGTGCGACAGTGTCGCATAGCCAGCGACAACTAGCGCTGGATAGCGACAACCAGCGCTGGATGGCGACAACTAGCGCTGGATGGCGACAACTAGCGCTGGATAGCGACAATTATCGAACATATATATTTTGCGCTGGCCAGCGTTATCCAGCGCTGGATAGCGACAACTAGCGCTGGATGGCGACAACTAGCGCTGGATAGCGCTAGTTGTCGCCATCCAGCGCTAGTTGTCGCGTTTTGACTATCGCAAAAGAACCGATAAACTGTGAACGATAATTGACAAATATATTTACTCTTATTCAAACCTTACCAATTTTCATCACCTAGAACTAATCTTAAAGTGTCGGCTATCTTGGCCCACTATGTAAAGTGTTCCCCTGCAGGACGGAAAGGGTGAAATGAAAGTTGATCTAACGGCGTTGTTCATCAAGAGAGAACCACCCATGTCACAGACTGACTGTACCGACTACAGGGAGCAGTGGAAAGAGAACCTCGAAACTATGAGTGAGTTACACTGCGATTCTTCAGAAGTGTAACAGCGAGCTAGGGATGGTTCAACCATCACCCTGACCAATAGGCAATATTCCATACATATTCCATACATATTCCATACATATTCCATACATATTCTATACATATTCTATACATATTCCATACATACCCTAATTAATGACCTATAACCCTAATTAATGACGTGGATAACTAAATATTTCATCAGGTTGTTTCGTGATGGAGGGTAAGAACTACACCCGCCTCCCCGCCGGAGAACAAGGCCACTTTTACACGGAGAACTGCTACATATTCCTCTGTACTTACTGGATGTTCATATCCGACTTCAACGATGGTAAGCCATTTTTTAGTCTCCGTAATTGTATATTACTGGTAATCACTGTAAACTCTGTAATTTTATTGTAATTTTATGTTCGATTTCAAATTATGTCGTTTGCCGAAAACTTAATAGCGACTTGTTTTAAAAGGTCCACATATTGTGTTCTCACATATTGTGTTCTCACATATTGTGTTCTCACATATTGTGTTCTCACATATTGTGTTCTCACATATTGTGTTCTCACATATTGTGTTCTCACATCGTTCTCTTACTGTACAGATCTGTTAGAACAGTACGTGATTCTCCAGAAGAAAACGTCGTCCGGTAAAAAGAAGACTACTGAGGAAGGAGAGAATGGAGGAGAAGAAGGAGGGTCCGAGGAAGAGGAGGAGGAAGAGGAAGAGGCGCTGGTGTGCCGGGTGTACTTCTGGCAGGGCCGGGACGCCAGTAAAGTGTGCTGGCCCCAGTATTCCCTCAGGTTGGCAGTGTGGTAGTTTCCCAGATAAGGAGGGGTGTCCATAACTTCTCAGACTGAATTTATAAAGCAGATATCAAACAGTTAAAAACTATACTAACGTTCAAACTAGCTTGCCTTCCCACAGTTCGTTCCGTTCAAAGATCCGAGAAAAGATAGGAATAAAGATGCCAGTTGAAGACGAACGTTGTTATCAACAGCAGGAGAATATGAAGTTTCTATCTTACTTCAACGGTCAATTCATGATTCACAAAGGTAATTACTTATGTCCACTAAAATTGGCTCGTGGAAAATCCAGCATACATAATTTAACATTATTTCGCATCTTCGCAATTGCGGGCTGTATATCAGCAAGCAATTGTGAAGACTCTGCCTTTGTTTTGACAAATTATACCGTCTACAACTCTGTAATCTACATTGCTAATCTGAAATTGAGAAGTACATTTCAACTTCCTTTACAATATTGGGTTTTAGCTTAAAGCTCCTCCTTGAAGATTATGTAGTTTGCATTTGTAAGACCAAGTACGATAATCGTGAAATCCACAAAACATCTCATATAACATTTTCTGAAGAAAAACTGCTATTTGAAAAGTAAATGCACAATTCTTACGTTTACCTCACCTACTCAAGATTACATTTGCTTTATTATCATTAGTTATTAGCACTCACCTTTTCCGGAGAAATATTCAATATCTTTAATAAATCTATAGATATCGTAAAAATCGAAGCAAAGTGTAATTGTCTCTTATAGAAGACGCTTACTATGGGTAGGCGGTGCAAGTTGGTTGTGATTTATGATACAAATTCTTGGATTTGATTACTCTATACTGCCATGCAATCTTCTCGGCTTCTATGTATCCTTTTTATCGTTCTTAAACCGACTAAGCGACTAACTTCACTAACATTTCTCAGGAAAAAGACCAGCAAACAACGACCCAGAGTCTCCCCATCCTCGACCTCGACTGTACCAGGTCCGACAGAACGGTAATATCCTGGCTCAACGGTGTGTGGAGATTGGGTGTTCTTCTCTCCTGCTCAACTCAGGTAACATAAATCTGTGACGTCATGGCATGTATTGTGACGCGGTCTGTGACGTCATAAAACGTAGCATGAGATCATACGAGTTATTACAATAGATAAAAGACCAATACTTGCGGTACCAAACAATAAAAAAGTAGCGTCCACTATGAATATCAGGAAATTTGGCAAGTTTTAATATAAAAATTAATCTATTAGATTGTTTCCTTAATTCATTAAATGCCAGGTTTCTGTTACATGCTGAAAGTTCCAGCTGAAAAGGATGGTGAAATGTGCTTTATCCTCTACGTGTGGATAGGTAGTAGGAGCTCGGAGGAACTCATGAACGCTTCTATTGAGATAGGCAAAGAGGCATTCGATGTGAGATTCAGATACTTACAAGTTATTGAAAAATCAAAAAAAAATTGCATTGAAATTTTCATCTGAATTTGTGGATATATATTTAACTTTGAAGTATCAGTCAACAAGAGCACACTACACCCCCCCCGGCCCCCCCCCCCACCGTTACACTAACACTTTTACTGACATTGCATTTTCCCACAGGATGTGGACACAGTTTCAGTTCTGTATGAAGGTACAAACGAGCCCGATATATTCTGGTCGGCACTAGGAGGAAGAAGGCAGTACGACACTAATGCTGACTGGATGGCTCTTATCAGACTCTTCAGGTAGTAATGCTGTTCCGGAAGGTGGACGCTTCGAACTGCTTTAATGTTACAACTTTAATTTGAATCATCGGTCAATAAATCAAATGAATTGAAGTACAAAAACCTGGTTAAAATCCTAAAGTAAATCCAAATAATACTCATCAGGTGCTCCAATGAGAGAGGATACTTTGCAGTGTCGGAGAAATGTTCTGATTTCTGTCAAGATGATTTGTCGGACGAAGATGTGATGATTCTAGACAGCGGAACTGTAAGTAACTATTATATAATACACCTTGGATTATATTAGTTTTACTTACCATCGTATTTTCCTTTACTGTTAACATCTACAATATAAACTACATGACGTATATATAACTGATATCTAACTGATTCTCTTTCATTTTCATCTAATACTTAGTTAACTTATTGTTTTACAGGACGTGTTTGTTTGGATAGGAGAGGAGAGTAGTGACGTAGAGAGAAAACTTGCTCTCAAATCAGCTCAGCTTTACCAGCAGCACATCCAGGACCTCTCAGGTAATTAATCTCATGTGACATGACGTTGTAACACGTGGTTCAAGTCAACTCATGAATAATCCGCGAATCATCTTTTTTACAAGCCGTTGTTCACATTAAGTGGACTTTCTACTTAGGTATTGTAGACAAACAAGCTGCCTTCTTTCATGTATACCATAATAACATACTTAATACATAATATAAGGGGGGGATATAAACATTTCGTTTGTTTCAGGGGAGGCTAGAAAACTCTCAATCGTAAGAAGAGGAAAAGAAAACTTGAAGTTCATAAAATTGTTCCACGGGTGGGGTCCATTCAGAGCCCGAACTAAAACCTCTAGTTAAACTGAAACGAGAAGAGTTACGATAGTGACAAAAACTAGAGGACGAAAGTAAAAACTCCAATGGCACTGAAAGAAATGATCATTTTGATAAGATTATGGGACACTGAATTATGGATTGTGGAAGCGGATAGAATGTTATGAAGATCTACAGATTAACATAATATTACTTGCTCGGACTTCATTTTATTTTTGATAAGACATAACACGTTTCTAAACCCCACTTAATTGATAAAATGAATAATCGAACCTTCAGCTAACAATGCTGTAAACGAGCATATTTTATTCTTAACAATGTTATTAGCATGATGACCGTATTTGTTGTTTTATGTTCTCAGGGTTTCAAAAGTTTAAGCTACCGATTTACATTTCGCGTTCACATTTCTTTAATACGATTTAATACGTTTGAATATTGATGCAATTGTAAATATAACTGACCTTACGTGATTTGATTAACGTATTGTATAATCCGAAATCTGATCTCCCTTTTAGAGACACCAAACTACTCGAAACTCGCTAGAAAGAGTGCTGAGTGTCCAATTCTGACTTCTGGGTTTAGATGGGTATAAATTATTACGCATATTACTCATACTCACAGTTATTACATTTTGTCGTGGGAGTATAGTAGATAATTTCTATCTTTATCTTTCTACTTACCCTTTAAGAATTAGATAAAGAAGTTTTGTAGCACTTTTAAATCAAGTCGGATACTTTACTAATGTCATCATTATTGTAAATGATTTTTATCCCCTAAATTTTGACAAAAATTTTGAATCGATTTGTTTGATTTCTGCCACTTTTGGGAAGCTGAAAAAATAATAGTGACATAGAATTTTTGCCCACACGTATTTCAACCTGATAGGTACACCGAAAGCCAAATTGTCGATCTGCCTCGCCGAAGTACTAATTAGTGGACTAAATGCTGTGACACCACCTGTTTCATGATTAGCCATGCTCTTAAATCCTTTTTAAAATCGCTGGTTTCGCGGTGAATTCAAGGTATTTTGCTGCATTTTTCAGCGATAATTTAACAAACACCAGACTTGGTAGTGATGAGAAAACAGGTGTTTTTAATTTGCTGCTTAATGATTTAAGGATCGTTACAGAGGTTCGACTACAATTCTCCTAGCATTTCCAGCATTCGAATTTGAGCCGTTTGACAATTCACGGATTGTACTCCTGTAACCATGGGGACGAGCCCTAATTCCAGTACCGTACCAACTGCAATTCTTTTCCAAATTATTGCATCTTTAAAGTCCTTTAATAGTGGCTGGAGTTATATAATCACGCTTGAATCGCTGACCAGTTCTTACTATTGCACCTGCCGTGAGCCGTTATGCTTGATTCTACTACTATTAGTCTTACGACCTTCTGAAAAAGCCTCCAACTTACCTAGAATAATATTTCCACCTGCCAGTGGTTCTTAACTCGTAATCTTACAACCATGTAATAAACCGTGATCTTATATTTAATGTTGCCATGGGGTGGCATGTCCCCATACATCGTGGTCCGGTAGTTTCATTGCGTCCTAATATGCAGTCTTCGCCGTTTCTCTGTTTCTAATTGGATTTATTTTTGTATAAAATTGAGGGCAGTTGCATTTTCAACCAGTAAATCCAGCAGACCAGCAGTAGCCACCAGATCGTCAGATTATCAATGTTAATGTTATATAAACTGCATACTCAAGAGTTTAAATTCCCAAATAGTCAGACTGAGCAGGTTGAGCTGTAGTAAAACACAGTACTGAGGTGTTAAAACATTTTCATTACTATCTTCAGTAACATCCTGAATCAGAAACTCGGTTAATATCAGTTCCTACTAAGTGTAACATTGGAAATGAAATGACACAACTAAAAACGATACCTATGAATATTTTTAAAAACATAACTTTTGTGCCCCAATGCAATGGAAAACCTTTAAGATAAATCCAATAATGGAATCCCAAACGGGTCCACGGCATTGAGCCCCAATGGACGTATAGTTCTTAGTTTCTGAATATAACGGTGTTCATCCACTTCTAGAGTTCTTGGGCTACTATTACTTACAGTTAATATTAAACTGCATACTAATATTAACTGTAAGTACAGTAAATAGTGGATATTAATTGATTATATTTATATATAATAGTAACAAGTCTCCAACCAAACTATTTCCTAGAACCGTGCAGCTTCGAGTTCGTATAACACATTGTAACATATATATATATATATATATATATATAATATTATTCTAGGTAAGAAAATTGGAGGCTTTATATATATATATATATATTGTATAACATATATTGTATAACATTCAACATGTTGGTATTAGGGGACCTTTCAGTATGACATATTTAAGTTATAAAGAAAGACAAAATAAAATTGTTGCATGTTGGCGACATCGTCGAGCAATTAGGTTATAGATAAACAGTCAAATTTAAAGTGCGAAAAATATCACTGGGAGTGGCTTATCTCATTTGCTGTCATAAGATTTATTTTCAACTCTGACCGTAATGCTGATTGCTGACTGTTGACCTGGTTATGTCACTGCTACTAAACAAGCTACTCGGCCCCCATTTAATAAGCGTATATAATGTAATATTAAGTAACACAGCGTTTACAGTTACACTGATGATTTGAAGGATGACGCAATAAAAGTCTCAAGTTCAACTCTACTCTAGTAGCAGCTCCAACATGAGTACAGATCCGTGTAATTAACCTTTTGTGATCGCGTTTAGACTTTAATAATTCCGTGTCGTTCCTAATAATTTGTGCGCCAGTTTATAAGCACTTGATACTATCAAGTGCTTATAAACTGGTAAGTTTAGAATCTTTAGATGGACTATCAATGATTATAGTCCATCTAAAGATTCTAAACTTATACCAGTACCGCTGATCTTGGGTTGACTGTCGCGATAGTTTCTCCTGGTGGCTGGTTGTAACCCTGCACGTGCGTCGTGCATGTTTTACTTCCTGAATCCTAACAGAGAAATAAAACATACCATCTCAGGTTTCGTTTGGTATTCTGCACGTGCTATCATTGAGCAGGGACCGCAATTGCTTCTGTCACGTGATATCATACCGTTTCTACAATTGGTTTTCAGAATGTACGTGACGATAATTTCAGGCTAATCTTGCCCAATATCTGTGCAAATTTAACATTTAGTAGCTATAGTTTCCCCAAGGTACACAGGAAGTAGTCGTATTTTATGTGGACAACACCCAAAAGGAGCAGTGGTCGTTAAATTAGTAAGCGCGTGTTTGCCAGGATCTGAGTCATTGTATTCTGCACATTATTTAATCCCTACAAATCTGTAGCATTTTGTTTAATTCTGATTTTTTAGTTTCTTAGCTGTTCTTTAGAATTAGAAATACAACTACGGCCATTTGCCTCGCTCATTCATATAATTTCATCAATCTCTCGATATATATTTACAATAACATAAACCCGCCACGCAAAGGGTTTATATAACAGATCATCCCGCGCTAGCGGGATGATCTGATAAACACATACGAGTGCGCGCAGCGCACGAGTTTTGTGTTAATATGTAATCCCGAAGCGCCAGCTGAGGGATTACATTTATTTAGCCCTGAGCGTGAAGTGTTTATGGATTATAATTATCTCCGGCGATTTCGACAAGGGATTTATACTAAGCAGTTCATCAATCTGAATGTCAAACCGATCTGTCATAGTGGAGCAATAGCTTGAACGTTAGTAGGAACAAGATCTGGAAGGAGAGCAAGCAAAACAATACTATTTTTAGGGCACGGACAAGGGTAGCTGGCTAGTCGCCAACTTCTCACGCCACGCGTTGGAGAAATTCCAAGAATTAGCTGCTTTGGCAACGTTCCCAGGAATTTGCGTGTAAAAGAAGTGGACGGTTACGATGTTTCATATCACGTGGTGCGCTTTCGTGTCACGTGGTATAGACTCGGCGTATGCTATTGGTGGCAAGTGGTACGCACGTGACGCGCCCACGTGATCGCGCGTCTAACTGTTCTACTATTATCGAGTTATAATCAGCAGTATCATTGATTATTGTAAGTCGGAGAATTGAATGATAAACATCAGTTACGACTAAAAAGCGGGCCGGGTTTATGCAAATTTCCGGGGCGGGATGATATCACCTTGAGATGTTTATCTAACAGCGGGCCGGGCTGAGTGATAATATGATCCCGCGTCGAAATCCCGGAGATATTTATAAATCTCCATCATCATGATGGAGATTTGTAAATATATATCGAGATCAGAGCTAGAGAGATTGATGAATATATATTATATAATTACAATATATAACCATCCATGTCGGTCGTATTATGTGAACGACCCCTTGCGATCTTTATATTACTATTAGTTGTTGAATTTCGAATCGATAGTTTAATCTCAACTAAGCACAGTACATAATATTTTGTCAGATCTTGGCAGATCAAGAATAGGATTATTTAGGTTTCACATCGTTAGGCACTCAGTTGTATGATTTTAATAAATTGTCAATAAATATGCAACAATTTCAAAATACATGAAATCATATATTTTTCCACATCCTATAAGAATTTTAAAAAGTTAAGCATTTATTGATTTTATCGATTTCATAAATTGCCTCCGAAGAAGAAGAATTGAGATGCAATTAGTTAATATAAGAGCCGGCAATATTAGACATTATAATCAATAATAAGGTATGTTTGACTTTGTGTGGAACGTTTGAACTTTCACTTTTAATGCATTTGTTAACACTTAGGTGTGGCATTGCAAATGCATTAGATATATTTATATCATGGGTGCGTCAAAGATATATTATTATTATTGGATAAGCACTAAACATCGGAACATGCCTCCAGCTCTAAATTGAAATATTTTAACTTGAGCATAATGCATATTACAAGTGTGTATATTTCATTTAACTGTCATGATGCAGAGATGCTTGAGTATAATGGGATACAAGGATTTAAAGGGCATTAAGTTCAACATAGATTTATCATCCAAACTAACGATTGCACAAGCGAATTTCTTTCTCGCCAGTATTCAAACTATTCATATAATTCTCGCCTAGTGTTATGAAGGCAGTTTAAAATTTGATTATTCCCCCTGCTAAGCTGCATAGTGTTGAAGCCCGCCCAGACTAGACGCTCCAGTCTACTATGTTGAAAGGAGTGAACACACAATAATAATAACTAGTATAGCCCGCGGGCTATACGTGGTTTACAGTTGAATTTATTTGTAACCTTAATGTCTTGACTTTTTTCGAGCTCAAATATTAATAAGATTTGAGGTTCTTTACGGTCAGCCGAATCGTAATTCACTAGTCCACTCGTGTTCCACACATTACATACGTCAGACATGTGATATGTTAACACTATGTTATTCTATCTGTAGAATGTTGTAAGGAGTCTACAAAGGAATCTGCAGTACATACTACATACTACATAGTACATATTTTCACTCTCCTTTCCACATTCCTCTCTGTTCATCTGGCTCAATATTCTAATAGTAATCTGCAGCTCCACTGTCAAAAAACTCTCCTCACTTAAAGGGGGGGGGGGGGGGTCACAAACTAGGGCCTGTGACCGAACTTTTGAGGGGGTTCCGGATTCCGGGTGCCCACCGGTGCCCGCGGGACAGCCACGCCCATATTTAGTCCAAATTATGCACAATTTTTCTCAACAAACTCTCCTCACCTTAACACTAACAGCTAACAGGATGAAGGATTCTAATTACGTGGAAATGGAGGAGTTCAAGTTGTGGAAAAGTCATGTCCAGTCACAGGAACTGTATCTGAAACATTACCAGCTAGTGTGCGCTGCTAGTGTCGTGATACTCATGCAGCTGGGCTTTACTTTCTTAGAGGTGAGTGGGGGGGGGGGGGGGGGGGGCTAGTGTCGTGATACTCATGCAGCTGGACTTTACTTTCTTAGAGGTGAGTGGGGGGGGCTAGTGTCGTGATACTCATGCAGCTGGGCTTTACTTTCTTAGAGGTGAGTGGGGGGGGGGGCTAGTGTCGTGATACTCATACAGCTGGGCTTTACTTTCTTAGAGGTGAGTGGGGGGGGGGGGCTAGTGTCGTGACACTCATGCAGCTGGACTTTACTTTCTTAGAGGTGAGTGGGGGTGGGGGGGGGCTTGTGTCGTGATACTCATGCAGCTGGGCTTTACTTTCTTAGAGGTGAGTGGGGGGGGGGGGGGCTAGTGTCGTGATACTCATGCAGCTGGGCTTTACTTTCTTAGAGGTGAGTGGGGGGGGGGCTAGTGTCGTGATACTCATGCAGCTGGACTTTACTTTCTTAGAGGTGAGTGGGGGTGGGGGGGGGGCTTGTGTCGTGATACTCATGCAGCTGGGCTTTACTTTCTTAGAGGTGAGTGGGGGGGGGGGGGCTAGTGTTGTGATACTCATGCAGCTGGGCTTTACTTTCTTAGAGGTGAGTGGGGGGGGGCTAGTGTCGTGATACTCATGCAGCTGGGCTTTACTTTCTTAGAGGTGAGTGGGGGGGGGGGCTAGTGTCGTGATACTCATGCAGCTGGACTTTACTTTCTTAGAGGTGAGTGGGGGTGGGGGGGGGGGGCTTGTGTCGTGATACTCATGCAGCTGGGCTTTACTTTCTTAGAGGTGAGTGGGGGGGGGGGGCTAGTGTTGTGATACTCATGCAGCTGGGCTTTACTTTCTTAGAGGTGAGTACTGACTCAGGGGGTATATATTGGATACTGTCAGTAGTTTATACAATATAAATACTTTATTTTTAAAACAATTTGAACAGTTTGCAGCATCCTCACTCCTCAGCCTAATTACTATTTTGTAGTTTTTAGATACCCTGAGTTAGATCTAGAAACACTCTGAGACGGTGGTCAACGTAACTATTTTGTGATTTTTGAAATCTCATGCTTAACTTTAAGTTAAGGCGTTCAATTATAAAACACACTTTAAAGATGATTGGTCTGTATTTCAGATGGGGTTAAGTTAGGGCGTTCAATCATATAACACACTTTAAAGATGATTGGTCTGTATTTCAGGTGGGGTTAAGTTAGGGCGTTCAATTATATAACACACTTTAAAGATGATTGGTCTGTATTTCAGGTGGGGTTAAGTTAGGGCGTTCAATCATATAACACACTTTAAAGATGATTGGTCTGTATTTCAGGTGGGGTTAAGTTAGGGCGTTCAATCATATAACACACTTTAAAGATGATTGGTCTGTATTTCAGGTGGGGTTAAGTTAGGGCGTTCAATTATAAAACACACTTTAAAGATGATTGGTCTGTATTTCAGGTGGGGTTAAGTTAGGGCGTTCAATCATATAACACACTTTAAAGATGATTGGTCTGTATTTCAGGTGGGGTTAAGTTAGGGCGTTCAATCATATAACACACTTTAAAGATGATTGGTCTGTATTTCAGGTGGGGTTAAGTTAGGGCGTTCAATCATATAACACACTTTAAAGATGATTGGTCTGTATTTCAGGTGGGGTTAAGTTAGGGCGTTCAATCATATAACACACTTTAAAGATGATTGGTCTGTATTTCAGGTGGGGTTAAGTTAGGGCGTTCAATCATATAACACACTTTAAAGATGATTGGTCTGTATTTCAGGTGGGGTTAAGTTAGGGCGTTCAATCATATAACACACTTTAAAGATGATTGGTCTGTATTTCAGGTGGGGTTAAGTTAGGGCGTTCAATCATATAACACACTTTAAAGATGATTGGTCTGTATTTCAGGTGGGGTTAAGTTAGGGCGTTCAATCATATAACACACTTTAAAGATGATTGGTCTGTATTTCAGGTGGGGTTAAGTTAGGGCGTTCAATCATATAACACACTTTAAAGATGATTGGTCTGTATTTCAGGTGGGGTTAAGTTAGGGCGTTCAATCATATAACACACTTTAAAGATGATTGGTCTGTATTTCAGGTGGGGTTAAGTTAGGGCGTTCAATCATATAACACACTTTAAAGATAATTGGTCTGTATTTCAGGTGGGGTTAAGTTAGGGCGTTCAATCATATAACACACTTTAAAGATGATTGGTCTGTATTTCAGGTGTTACTATATATCTACTACTTGTATTTCAGGTGGGTAACCTGGTAACCTGGTAACTCTCCCTATTTCAGGTGGGGTCAGTGAGAGTACAGTTTACTAAAAGTATCCTGATGAAAAACATGGTAGATATGATCATATCAGCTATCATGTACTTTGCAGTTGGTAAGTGCAATGTAGCTGATGTCATCTCACTATATATAAAGCGAGACGATATATATATGTATATATGTACATATATATGGTTCCGTGCCATTTTACTGACACCATGGCATCAACTTTAACACGACTTTCCGCAAAAACCGTAAAAGATATACAACTGAAACTTTTTTGACTGGGTCAAATGCTTTAATGGCCTTCAAATCAGCATGAAAAAATAAAAAATTGGCCAAGAAATAGGAGTTTTAGAGCCCAAAATTTTGACCCCCAAGTGGTGTCAAAAACGCGAATTAAATAGGTAATAATTATTTTAGTCTCTTGAGTCTTGACACCACTTTAGGGTTAGACGGGTTCCTGCTAGTTCAGCTAAAGTGGTCTCATGGCAAAAACTGATTTTGTTTCAATGATATTATGTAATGTAATTGATGTTTTGGGACAAGTGAGAGTTTCCACTCAGTTTTTAAAACTGAGTGGAGAGTCTGGAGACTCTCACTTGTCCCAAAACATCAATTATATGATTGACCCACTCAAAAGAGCGAAATCAGATTGTTAATAATATTAGCTTTTAAATTTTATCACATTCACGTTTTATATGTAGAGTGTATACGAATAAAGCATTCTAAACCCAGGTTTTGGATTTGCATTTGGAGACGGATCATCATCGGGAGGATTGATTGGATCAACAAACTTTTTTCTGAGCTCCAACCAAAACGCTTCTGACATCCACCACTCTTCAGCAGGTACTATAATATACTATAATACAGCAGGTGTTTGGTTATTGCTTTGATCTTCACATTGTGAAGTTATCACTTTCGCTTTTGGCTTCATTATTAAAAAAGTAAATGAGTTCACGTATAATTAATTATAGGTTGGGTGTACCATTGGTCGTATTGTGCAACAGCTGCTACAATAGTAGCTGGTGCGATAGCGGAGAGGACCCAACTTGTGGCGTACGGAGTGTACTCTATCATAGGATCCACTTTACTCTACCCTGTTATCACACACTGGATTTGGAGTCCTACTGGCTGGGCTAGTGCTCTTAATCCCAATAGGTGGGTATTTTCATTAACTTTAAGTTGAACAGTTAACAATATTGAGACTTGAAAACTGCACTATTTTGTAAACATAACTTAATACTTTCGAACTTTTCACTATACTAACTGAAACTCAGTTATAATTTGTAAATTCTGTCCAGCACTAATAAAACGTCCCCCACAGTTTGATAGCCCCAGTTCTTGACGATGCGGGAGGTATTGCAGTTCACACCTGTGCAGGAATGTGTTCTATAGTTGCTTGCTTCTTTGTCGGTCCTCGACAACACCGTCTTGACAGGAAGGGAAACTTTGTGTGAGTAAACTTCATTACAAAGTTCTGTGGATCTTTCTGTGAAATTTTATTAGATCACAGGAGTGGATGTCTTGGTTCATTTGAAAATGTCCATTTTATTTTTGGTAGTTTACCAGTGTTTGATAAGGAAATATCACGCAATTAATTTAATTCTGAGATATTCATATACTGTGGCGTTATCTGAGTTACCAAATATCTTTCAAAGATATTTGGTCTGATCTTCGCTCCCAACATTTCACTACATCACTACATGACTAATGTTTAATGTTGATTCTGAAAGCTGCACTAATCGTGCTACCCGTTCAACAGGTCCTTTCCAGTGAAGTATCATTCTGAAATCTTAAAAACTCCTTCATGGTTAAAAATATTGGCGAAACTTAATAATGTCGTGTATCTTTATTTCACCATGAAACGAATAATTTTAGTTTATAGTATTATGTAAAAACTGTTTCAACTGTTACGAGCCCTATCGTGAGGAAGAAACAGTTCCTGCATTTCTTGAGATCTAACAAAACACAAATTACGAACCTTTTTCAGAACCTTTCAATATTGAGTTGGAGGTTTCATATTTTGATACTTCAACTGAAATAATCCAGAGGTTAATGAAAACCTATTATTTATATCATCATACGTTCGTTATGACAAAAGTAGCTACTCTCCTCACAACGGTTCCGTTCACTCGAATACTGTTCAATTAAAAAATTGCTCATTACTGAGTAGTTCTAAAACGTTTTAAATCCAAAATTAAACCCATTTTGAAGCAAGAATTTTACAACTTAAATTTGAAATTTATAGTCCCACTCACCACGACAATCAGGAGGCGTGTCTATTTGGACGATAACTCCTTCCTGACAAGTTGCTCCGTCTCCTCCATGGTTGGCGTAGTTTAAATCACAAGTGAAGGATATCACTGTACCTTGTTCAACTGGTAGTTGTGGTGACGTCACAACATTCCTCCATGTTGAGTTGAGAATGACACATTTAGGAGAGTGATCAACTGAAATGGGGGGTTTTATAATTCTGTAGTCTGGAGAAAAAAACTGTAGTAAACAGTCATCTCGGTTTAATTTATTGATCTGAACACGACGAACTAGTAGTATTGTTACTAGAAGTAACAATATCTTACCTTTTTTCCCGATAACTGATATCTCAGGCACGCTCAGCTCACGGGTGCCACTAATTTTCACTATCTTCAACCTGTCCCCGTATTTGCAGTTAGATACTGAATGGAGATCATTAGAAGATTCTGTAAACACTGTGAGGTTGTACCTGTTACAGTAGTTGTGACCTGAGCAGATGCATTCTGTTTCAGAGCAGGTCCAGGTCAGGGTATAACCACTTATTTTAAGAGGATACCTAATCACTTGTTCAACGCAGTGCACTTGATCAAAGGTTAACTTAAACCAGGGCCGGCCGTCAACACCTTTTGATACTGCATGAGACGATGTTTCCATGTCCAAGTCTAACGAGAATATAGCGGCATACTCATCTTCATTATTTTCCTTTGTCTTGAACTGTTTAGCACTGACTGGTATTATTTCACCAACTAGTCTCTCCCTTAGTGCTGAAATGTCAAAATAAGGTTTAACCAGCGCAAATCAGAACAGAGGTGGTTCGTCCAGTAATAAGTAATTAAACTTATTAAGTGACTAAACTCGACTATTGAGCTTAAATTTTGCACCTATAAAATGTTCATGCAGCATCCGAGGAATTCCAAGAAACGTTTTAGAGCATGTAGTTATCATAACCCATGTTTATGAACCATGACGTGATTTCGTTTTTTTTTCCGTGAACGTTATCGACAGTAAAAACTAATGAATTGAAAAGATAACGATAAATGTGTACCACTAACCAGTATGTAGTGAGGGGACGAAGCTAAAAGAAACAAAGAGAAACATTAACATTGCTAAATGTTCCTGTGAAAGAGAAAATGTAAAGTTTGTTATCGTAAGAACAATAATTCCTGGTACATGAACATTTATGTATCATATCATGATATTGATGTGCCAACCAATTAAAAAAATAAACGAATTATTATTTGGTTAAATGTTAAGGACCGAGTGAGAGTCCACGAAGGCCGCCTCGTGTATCATGAATGATGGAACGATAGCTCAAGTCCCAGCTCTCTACTGTATTACACACATAAACCGGCAACCTATTGAGATATCCTCTATCTACTGCTTTGAGTTCTCTTGGTTCTCCGTCAACCCACGTGACAACACTATAGTCCAACCAGAATTTGTTCAGCTATAATGTAACCAATAGGGCTGCTCGATCCCCCGAGTAGTGTGGCAACCTCTGGGAAACCATGCCACTGGCAAATAATGTAGGGCTAAAGATCTTGTAGAATATAGTCTGGTTAACAAGATATAGATGAAAGGAAAATGTGCCATTTTATAGAACAAGTGCTCTGTTAGTCTGTTATACTTTATGAATATTCACTTTTTGAAGCTGAGCTCGGCGTCGATCCTTACCTCTCTTCCAAACGATTATCTTTGGTATATCATTAAATCCATAGCTTACCTATTGTCCATTAAGCAGGCAATTCAATGATTGTAACATTTGGAATTTTGGAGAGATGATATATATATATATGGGCCATGGGGTGTATATATATCTTTATAGTACGACTTATGATATATCATAAGTTGTAATATAAAGGGGTTGGGCCGCATTTAAAATCATCATTAAGAATGTCTCAATAGATAAATAATTCAATAAATGAGACAAGGGGATTTAATAGAAACTCAGTTAACTAACAAGAATAGGCGGTTAAATATTTGTTGTAATACAATTTATTTTTATTTTGTAGTCTTCAAGTTTCGTTTTTGTTCTTATATTCGATATTTTTGTGGAATTTTATATCACATTTATTGATCCCCACAACATTCCAGGAAAGATTTGCCGAAACAAAACCAATCGTTCATCGTGTTCGGTATGTTCGTTCTGTGGTTTAGTTGGTACGCCTTCAACGCTGGACCTGCTATCTTAGCCGGTCAGTTTCTTTACTTAGAATGATCGGTTATATTTCTCAATATTAATTGCTTGCTCGATGTATCGTGAGGAAGAGTTATAATTCATACTGGCGCAGTACTTGTGATCACCACTTACTATTACTACGAGGACAGGCATGTTTATAATTTGTGGTTCCCTGATAACTATTTTCTTATAATTACTTCTAATATTATATTCTAAAGCGATCACATTATATTTACAGCGGCAAGTAACGAATCTCTAATGGGAAATATAGCAGCTTACACAACAATCTGCGCAGCTTCTAGTGGGGCTACTTACCTCGCCCTGTCCGTTGGCCTCAGAAAGTTTGTAATCTTCTCATCATGTCACTGAAACTTTATTTTGATTGAGTTTCAAAACTGCTCTGAATAGAAATCTAAAATCAGCTCCACTGTATAAGCTTTATCAACTTTATAAACTAAATTCCAAACCTGCAGGAAGTTGCCGGAGCCGGGCGACCTGTGTAACGGTATCTTAGCCGGACTAGTATGCAGTACTAGCGGCTGCTCTGTCATCAAACCCTACTTTGGTCAGTGCTGTAGCTCTTGTCAATGTTCTATACTGTTTTTTTACTTTTAAACTTTTCTTAGACAGTCAGGATAAAAATTATAAATGTAAAACAAGCTTTTTTACTTTTTGTTGTTGTCAAGAATTGTTAAACATTTGAATAAAACTCATATATGCATATATGCATTATGCAGGCATTGTGATAGGATCGCTGGGAGGTGTGATAGTGATGGTCGTGTCAAAGCTAATGAGGAGGTTCAGGATTGATGATGTAGTGGATGCTGTGGCGGTACACTTAGGATGTGGTGTCTGGAGTGCTCTCAGTGCTCCTTTATTCGCTGAAACAGTCTTAAACACTGACGAGGGGTATGTTACAGCATTCAGAAACTTTTTCAAGTTAAAGTTTTTAAAAGTGGTATTTACTTCTCTCACTAAAAAAGTCTCCCAGATAAATTAATCTGACGAGTTATATCTTCCCTAAGGTTGAAGTATGCGTACAAATCGTGTGGTGTATTCACAGGATGCAGTGAAGGATGGAAGTACCTAGGTAGTAACGTGTTGTTGACACTTCTGACAATAATCTACGTTACTGCTATCGTTACTCCCACTTGCTTCATTCTCAGACAATGCAAGGTATGTAGCACTACCTTTCTGTAACTTTTAAACACTTTAGTCAAATTTAAAGAGAGAGAGTGTTTTAAAATTTAGACTTAAAACTGGACACCTCAAACTTTAAACCTTGAACCAAAATTAAAGTGTTGACCTTGAGTATTATCTCAAAATGTACTGATTAATTTGTTTTCAGTGCTGAGTCACTTTTTAAAGACTTATACTCATAACATTCACATTCACATGAAACTCAATACTCTTTTTTATGACATGAAAATTTCAGATACTCAGAATAAAGGTTGAGAGTGAAAGACACGGAGTAGATATTGTTGAATTTGAGGGACCGGCCTACAATAATGACATGAAGAGTCGTAGATCAAAACTGTTCAATGACGTCAAACATGCCAGTCCTAGAATTGGGATGCCTCATGGGGATGGGACCTGCTGAATTACCATTTTACTATTCAGGATTTTCTCTTTGAGTAATAATTTTATAATATCGTTGTTGTGTTAATTTATTTGTAAAAAGCGCACAGCTGTTGGAACCCATTTCAGATAAATACGTTTTTTCGTAACTTCAGGAACTTTTTTTATACTTGATCGAATATTTATGAAATTGTTGAAATTCTAATTTGATTTTTAGTCTCTTTTAGCATAAATAAAGTATTAACGTTATCAGCTTTTGGATTATTGAATTGATCTTTTTCTTCAAATTTTATCGATCGTTTTCAATATGTACTCAAAGGATAGTTATTGTTCTCTGCCTACGCAGTTAAATACCTCCTTGCTATAATAGTGTATAGTAATTTGTATCACTGTAATTAATTTGATTTATAATTTTGAATCAGCAATGGAGTATTTCATTAATGTGTTATGATATCATTAGGGGTCGTTCACATATGAACTGTATCAAGGTTCAGCGCAATCAAAATATCAGAGGGTCTTCCGTCTCTATTCAACAAAAACCTAAGAGATTGCTATATTATGGCTTCCGGGTCTAACTCTTAATTTCATTTCGATGTGCCGTCCAAATGCCGACCACATGTTTTATGCCTATTTTCATGTGGTTTAGCCAAAACGGCGCGCGAAATTTAACGTAACGCGCGTATATGTTGCGCCGATACTATCGCAAAAACTTATTCGCGTGTTACGTTTTTAGTGCCAAGTAGACCTTTTGCGAGGCATCTGTGACTTCATGATTGGCACAAATTAAAACTCTTTTGAATAGTGATTGATCATTGACACAAAATGGTAAACATTGATTGATATTGACATATTGCCAATTAAATGTCAAATCTTATAAATGATACAGGGCTAGTATATAATGATAAATCTAATCTGGGTGTACAATGTACAATAAAGTTAATATAAACTCTTTTAAAGGATTTAATAAATCTGTAAATAAAACATGTCAACAAATAAATAGAAATTCCTAGTTCTTCAATATTTTATGTTCTAGTAATAGTTGCTATAAACTGTCATAAACTAATTGTAAACAGTGTTCAATATGATAACGATAAAAACTGGGAATCTCAATTCTCAGATTATTCAGTTTGAATAAAATAAAAAGTAAATGAGAGAAAGAATAAAGATGGAGATGAATCATTGTAAAACTTTATTAAACATTGTTCGATAAATTTGATAATTAAAAGTATTTGTCGATATAATCATAAATTCGTTAACTCCCGGGAAATATTTTCTAAAAGTTTCGGTGACAAATTCCTTCACTTCATAACTTCAATCGATATCAATCGAATTCTTTCCCTTCGACTCTAGTATGGGTTTAACGGAAATTTTCCCCATATCACTTAAGGAATCTTACTCAATCACTAAGGAAAGAGCACCTAAAAATGTAAAAGCTTCATATAAAATCTGTCTATTAAATTCTAGCTGTATTTAAAAATTTAAGTCTGCTCGATCGCTGCAATGATTTTGTACATAAATCTATTGAATGTCTAAAGGTAAGTCTTGACCTAGAAATATAGCGCTAGGTTTAGTGAGTAATCCAGAATGGCCACTAGTCTGCGCTAACTCTAGTGAGCAGTTCAAATCTCCTCTAGTCTGCACTAGGTTTGGTGAGTGTAGTGAGTGCATCTAGTCTGCACTAGGTTTGGTGAGTGTAGTGAGTGCATCTGGACCTCCAGGGTTAACCTCACTCATTTCCACAGTCTCGTACTCATCTGCAAAATATGGGTACAGGCAACTTGATTATATAACCACTGGTGACCATCTTAGCTGTAACCATATTTTTAATAACTATAACTACTACTGTAGTTTCGCAATTTAAAGTTAAATATTTAAAGCGATAAAAGACAAAATAACCCAAATAATTCTATAAACAGTAAAAACCTGTAGCCTGTGAGGCGGATGATGTTGGAGCGTACAGAAGAAGAATGTTCAAAACATACAAATTCCACAGACCAGCAATACCAACTAAAAAACCACCTGTAAAAAAAGGGAATTGTGTTAGTTACCATGACAGGTTACCATGAAATTAACCATGACCATGTTAGTTACCATGACAACTACATTTGTATTGGCTACCATAGCAACCACAATGACAAACTTACTGCTAATCTCGATAGTTTTCTCTGTTCTGCCCCACTTGTAGTACATTTCATTGAGGTTAATCATGATGAACATGACGACTGTTAGGATCCCACACGCTGCTGTTCCGTAGACCATTACTTTAAACCTAGTTATCAACCCCTCGTAGTACATCTGTCTTACTCGACCAACGTTCACCTGTTATCAATTAACAGTTAAATCAAGTAATTGGTGAACCATTCGCATAGAAATTTCCAGGATTGAAAAATTGCTCTTCGTTTAGACATTTATTCGAAAGGATAAACTTCACAGAACATTCCGTAAGTAAGCTCCGGTATAAAAGAGAATATTCTCCATATTTTAATCTCCACCTACCAAGCTCGCTCTTTTCCTGCTCATGCTGATTACAGCTCTAATCATCAGATAGATAAGAACGAGAAGGTAAAACCCAGCACACCCAGCTGACACTATCAGTAGAGTTCTGGCGGTATTTTCCCCCATCACAGTGGACCAGATCGAATGAAAAGGGTCCGCTATTTGTAGTCCTCTCTCAATCACATCGAATAAGAACATGACAGACGCGCACACACTGATTGCTGTTATCTCTTTCCAATAGTTTGAGAATTTGTTTCTTTGATCCAGATCCTAGGAGAGGAACTATTTACTAATCAGTCCAATTAAATTGTAACGTTGGTTACGTTAACTAGATAGTGAACAAATATATGTGTCGAGTTTGTGCCTACTAAAAGAAACTATGGGCTGCATTTTTTATTCCTTAAGAAGCACGACCAAAAAATAAGAAAATACAGCATTAATAAAAAATAACAATGTTTAACCCCTACCATCCTGTGCTCCCCGACAAAATAAGAAAATACAGGATTAATAAAAGATAACAATGTTTAACCCCTACCATCCTGTGTAAAAATAAGAAAATACAGGATTAATAAAAGATAACAATGTTTAACCCCTACCATCCTGTGTAAAAATAAGAAAATACAGGATTAATAAAAGATAACAATGTTTAACCCCTACCATCCTGTGTAAAAATAAGAAAATACAGGATTAATAAAAGATAACAATGTTTAACCCCTACCATCCTGTGTAAAAATAAGAAAATACAGGATTAATAAAAAATAACAATGTTTAACCCCTACCATTCTGTGCTCCCCGACAAATAGGAGCCAGAGCACAGCAGTAGCAGCGTAGAAGAGTCCAGTGCTGACATCGTACCAGACTCGGAGTCCTGGCACATCAGCGAATAGGGACAGGTACTCCATAGGCACTGGGGGATAGGGCTGTTACAGTGCTGTTACAGTGCTGTTACAGGGCTGTTACAGTGTTGTTACAGTGCTGTTACAGTGCTGTTACAGTGCTGTTACAGTGCTGTTACAGTGCTGTTACAGGGCTGTTACAGTGTTGTTACAGTGCTGTTACAGTGCTGTTACAGTGCTGTTACAGTGCTGTTACAGGGCTGTTACAGTGCTGTTACAGGGCTGTTACAGTGCTGTTACAGGACTGTTACAGGGCTGTTACAGTGCTGTTACAGTGCTGTTACAGTGCTGTTACAGTGCTGTTACAGTGCTGTTACAGGGCTGTTACAGTTCTGTTACAGTGCTGTTACAGTGCTGTTACAGTGCTGTTACAGTGCTGTTACAGTGCTGTTACAGTGCTGTAACAGTGCTGTTACAGTGCTGTTACAGTGCTGTTACAGTTATGTTACAGTGCTGTTACAGGGCTGTTACAGTGCTGTTACAGTGCTGTTACAGTGCTGTTACAGTGCTGTTACAGGGGCAGGTTGTGTAAAGGAAAGTAACTGTAGTTTAATAGGTAAATTTTAAGTTCTTGACCGAACCCTTCCTTTCTGATTTACCAGTTTTTAAAAGCTCAAAGACAGCTAGTATAGTATCACATCGAGATCAATTAAAGTTAAGAATATTAACATTTTACTAAATATGTATCCTGCAGTGTTCAGATTTAGTGTTTAAATGCTGAGATAGAATCAAGAATTCAGCAAGGATTAAGAAGTTAAGACGACAGCTCAGCACAAACTTACTTAGAGCTGGGTTATATGAAAACTCCTGTAAGAATCCTATTACCCAAAACAAAATATTTCATAAACAACTCAAGTTATACCCGTTACAATAACAATGCCAGCCAAACTGAACAAGCAAACTTAAAAATATAAAAATCACAACAAAATTGTTCAAGAATTGTGGTATCAAGTGGTTTACTTACAATTAAAGATTACATTCGTCATTCCAATACCAGTAATAACTCTGAAAAAAGACAGATAAGGTCAGGCAACATATAAATTAGGGTATCGATAACAATAACATTTTTACAATTCTATTGTAATTTAATACTAATAGTTTTACAACTGGTATATTCCCAAGGGACCGGCTGAGACAGATAATAGAACATCAGCTTGTGGAAACTGTATAAGTGCGATGGATCACTAAAACTCCTTTTTTTTTTTATCTCAACACTTATTTTACTTCGGACATTCCAACAGCCACATTGTTACACAAGTGTGTAACCAGCCAATTACAGGAAGCCGAAGGATTCAATTATACATTAGGCCAGTGACGGTTAAGGTAGTGTGTACCATACTTTCTTCGCCCGAGACTTTGCTGCAATGGGCAGCTCCTCATTTAACCCTCACACCCGATTTCTCGAGTATTTGGCTGAGTGGACCGGGGGGCTGCATAGACCACTCAGGATCCTTAGCTGAGCGTCGACGACGCTCACCCCACGGCTAGTGACAGAGTCGGGAATCGAACCTGGTACCTCAAGCAATACCAGGCGGATTAACCAACTGAGCCACTAAGCCGTTAAAGTATCTTCAGTGCAGATTTGCCTCAGATCTACAAATCACAAAACGGTGCAGCCCGCATTTCTCACCGTTACGAGCCAGTTCCGAGCGACTGGTGATGAAGAAAAGATATCAAATCATTATTTAAAACCACAAATCGACACCCTCATTACCAGTTTCAGGGTAATTCCCAGCTCTGACACTATACCAGTGATGGCTCCCAATATTGGTATCTGCCAATACGAGGAGGACAGCCGCCCTGTGTCACGTGTCACTGTGTCACGTGTCACGTGTTCTTGTGTTTAGCAGTTGATATTACTTATTAGCCAATCATTGCTGTTTTAAATATGAATGATTGTAGTGATTTTAAGGGAGAAAGCGATGAGATAGTGGTCGACTGCGTCTGTTTTGTGTTGACTATCATGTTTGTAAATAAATCGTACATTTTAAGGGACTGGAAATATGACTGTTTCCATTTTTTTCAAGGCGCGTATTGACCATTATTTATTTTTTAAATTAGTGAGGCTACTGAACCTAGTGACTCAAACTGCGTTACTAAAATATCAGAATTAAAATGACTGCGTGACTGTTCACTTACTTGGTGATAAGAAGTGGACTGTGTATGGTGTGTATCCTGACTTGTCTTCTAAAGAGAAGAGTAGCCAGGAGAAGTAGGGGACACATCACACTTTTCTGTGCTACCCACACTTTCGTGAACCCTCCGTTTTGGTGGATTTCCTGAAATGAGGGGGGAACTTAGTGTACGTGATAAACCACGAACTCGTATGCTGAAATAGAGTGATAATGTCATTGCCCTTCAGACAGAAAATCATTGTGTAACTCTGACGTTCACCGTTATTTTCTGTACAATGTAGATGCGGTTTGAATCGATATTCCAAGGATTATCAAACTTCAAATTTGAACACCGAGAGCGTGATTGGATAAATAACAAGAATTATTTTTATTGGCTTAATTTCTAATAAATTTACGAAAATTAATATCGACGGAGCCTACTAATTTAACCATCGGAATGTCTCCGGACTCCGCCACTAATTAAATAATAATTACCGCTTATTAAATAATAATTATCAAAGTTTGGCTCCATGTTCTGAAAGAGCACATAAAACTTCTCCTCAATTAGCAGACCAAAAGTAGCTTCCTGGAAAAATAAAACCGTAGCGTGTTTCTGCTGCAGCTGGTACTTGTTTTCATGTTGTATAACGATGTTTTTACAATGTATGCGAGGGCGTGAGGGCTTACAACTATTGTAACTTAAACAATGACCTTCACTTTGTGTTTGCTACATTGTATATATAAGCTACATTGTTAGCTACATTGTCACAACATGAAACTCTTTACAACTCCTCTCTTTTCCTATTGTTGCAATTGACATTGTTGCTAATTATTGGTGTCCATATCATGGTTGCTTCATGGTTACTTCATGGTTGCTTCATTCTTTAAGCTGTTGTAAATTCGAATTATCTGTAGCGATCATTCTTTCCGCTGGCTCCAACACTATCACTAGCGGAGTTCATGTTTTGAGGAGTTCATGTTTAAAAACCGTTAGCCGATAGTTTATTCCTCTGCCAGTTAGTTGCACATTTTATTCCTGCAGTTAGTCACGAGCAGATGCACCATTTTTTGAACTTTTATCATTTCATGGCACACTCTTGATTCGTGGGGGAAGCTCGATTTCAGGAAAACTAAACATCCTTCCGTTAATCTAGATTTAAGGAAATAACGTGCATTGAAAACATGCACATAATCAGTATTATGGTGTGACATTCTGTTACTCTGCTAGAATGTTCCGGTTATTTTAAAGTCAGCGGTCTTCTTTGAGACTGGGCCAGGAATATCATGAAGTTTTCAACCATATAAAATATCCGCGTGAATAATGTTGGAACGATTAAACAAATTTACCAAAACAAAACATTTTGTAATCGCATTAAGTAATAAAGATGATTAAAGCACCTTGCACCCTATGTCGTCATGGATCCCTGCAGCTGTGTTGTTATAGTTACCAACACTCATCTTCATTTCAACCTTGAACCGGAAACTATAATGATCTTCACAGTAATCGCCGACCACTTCTCAAGACACTATACTGTCTACGAACCTTGGAAAGAGCTTTTGAAGACATGATGACCGGCTAACATCACCAGGGAGCCAGTATACTCGAGCCCTGAACCGGCTACTAGTCACGATTTAGGAAAGGGGACTAGAGAGTAAGTTTGAGTGTGTCAGTGTCATTAACTAATGAGAGGAAACAATCAGGGGAGGAGCAGTGGCGCTGCTTACTATCTACACTGCTTCTTACTAATGAGACAATCATTGCACGAGAAAGGGCGTACTTGTGAGGAGTAGTTGAGAGGATGACGTGTAGATTGCACTACAGCCTTGAGGCGTACTTGTGAGGAATAGTTGAGAGGATGTGTAGATTGCACTACAGCCTTGAGGCGTGCGTAGTAAAGTAAATATACGTTAAGTCACACAATATGTACTCTATATAGAAACACATCGTCCAAAACCCACCTAATTTTAATTTCCAGATCTTGACGGAGAGGTGAGAGGTCAAAATTCAAATTAACAAAAGGCATCAAACCAGGCCCCATGGTCCTTAACTTTTCTGGGATAGGAGTCGAATAGCATCAGATATTATCAAGTTGTTCAGTTATTACTTTTTACCAAGCGGACTATGTTTGAAGGGGGTTATGCCAAGACAACCTTTTACTTAACTAGTGTCCTCATTCATAATTTTAGATGAGTTAGTATTCTAATCTTACAATCTGTCTGTCCCAGCTAACCATAAAATTAAAAAGCTATATCACTACCATGACTTTGTAATCTTTAGCCGCAGCTTGCAACGATTTTTTTAATCACTCCAATATCAGCCACAACATTGCAATTATCTGCGATTTCCGTTATTTATTTGTAACTAGTACAGTTAAAGTTGATGATATTATCAGTCATTATATTTGAGGTGTCGACAGTAATATAGCTGTTATAAATCAAGAGGCTGTTATAACCTATCACTATCAATTTATTCGGTAATAAATACGCACAACGTAATTATAACAACGAGTTTCTCATCTTTTAATCTAATTTGTGGTCCATATTCCAGATTAATGATATCTTCCTGTCAGTCTGAACATTACATATCTAAATATGCAGATAACTTTGCCGCAATAGTTTTGTGCTTAGTTCACCGTGGTAGGCAGCGAACCTTGAAAATGTCAGGAACTATCACTGAGGAACTTCTATGTTGCTCAGTTAATCTCAGTCAGACTAAAACTCTTTATAGATCATCAATTCTTGTTTCCATAGCTATAGTAAAAGCTGCCATTACCATGACAACTTAACTACCGTCTCGACGATTCCACAAAAGTCAAAAAGTTAGGCTAGTGAACACCTGCGACTACGGGTCAAAATTACAGTTGTAGTATTATTTACAGGGAGCGGCAAGTCTTTTTAGCAATTCTTGCGAGGGAAATTACAAATTTTGATTTCTTCCTCGAAAATATAGAAATTTCAATTAAATTTTTATAGTTCATTTTTTGCGGATTTATCTTTACACTAAAATGATTTTACAGTCGAGATTAGTAACAAAATAAAACTGCGACAATCATTAATTAAAGTTTCGGAGATATTTACAGCCACAATCACCTTCTTAGACTTAGCGGGATCTTGCTGGTTACAAGGGTCGAGGAGATACAACGTTGATTAGAGATTTTAGTTGTATGTGTGCTTTGTGAGTTAGGAGTAGTTTTTGTGGCCTTTGATCTGACAGAAAAGAATCAGCAGCAGAGATTGTGCAAGATGCAGGTTACTGGAGATGCCAGGTTTGTAAGATGCAGGTTACTGGAGATGCCAGGTTTGTAAGATGCAGGTTACTGGAGATGCCAGGTTTGTAAGATGCAGGTTACTGGAGATGCCAGGTTTGTAAGATGCAGGTTACTGGAGATGCCAGGTTTGTAAGATGCAGGTTACTGGAGATGCCAGGTTTGTAAGATGCAGGTTACTGGAGATGCCAGGTTTGTAAGATGCAGGTTACTGGAGATGCCAGGTTTGTAAGATGCAGGTTACTGGAGATGCCAGGTTTGTAAGATGCAGGTTACTGGAGATGCCAGGTTTGTAAGATGCAGGATACTGGAGATGCCAGGTTTGTAAGATGCAGGTTACTGGAGATGCCAGGTTTGTAAGATGCAGGTTACTGGAGATGCCAGGTTTGTAAGATGCAGGTTACTGGAGATGCCAGGTTTGTAAGATGCAGGTTACTGGAGATGCCAGGTTTGTAAGATGCAGGTTACTGGAGATGCCAGGTTTGTAAGATGCAGGTTACTGGAGATGCCAGGTTTGTAAGATGCAGGTTACTGGAGATGCCAGGTTTGTAAGATGCAGGTTACTGGAGATGCCAGGTTTGTAAGATGCAGGTTACTGGAGATGCCAGGTTTGTAAGATGCAGGTTACTGGAGATGCCAGGTTTGTTGATTCTGATCAGTGTTAATAGCCTTTCATTGCTTCTTCAATAATCTATCAAGAAGTAATTAAATTGAATGATATAACGATCGCATGGAATAATGGCAGTAACGTGCACCTAACAAACGACAAGTCAGTAGGTTACAGCCTCATGTGTTCAAAGTTTTCACCTGGCTCTAAAAACGTGTTCTGGATGGCATGTTTTTCTCTCTAAATTGACTGACGTCATTTGATTCATACATTTCACTATTAGTGTCAATAAAATTTGTTTTTGACAAAGAACTGAAACTTTGAACATTTTATTTAATCTTTTCGCCATGTTGTTGCTCCACCCACTATCAGTGTTACCATGTTGTTGCTCAACCCACTATCAGTGTTACCATGTTGTTGCTCCACCCACTATCAGTGTTTCATGTTGTTGCTCCACCCACTATCAGTGTTACATGTTGTTGCTCCACCCACTATCAGTGTTACATGTTGTTGCTCCACCCACTATCAGTGTTACCATGTTGTTGCTCCACCCACTATCAGTGTTACATGTTGTTGCTCCACCCACTATCAGTGTTACATGTTGTTGCTCCACCCACTATCAGTGTTACATGTTGTTGCTCCACCCACTATCAGTGTTACATGTTGTTGCTCCACCCACTATCAGTGTCACCATGTTGTTGCTCCACCCACTATCAGTGTTTCATGTTGTTGCTCCACCCACTATCAGTGTTACATGTTGTTGCTCCACCCACTATCAGTGTTACATGTTGTTGCTCCACCCACTATCAGTGTTACATGTTGTTGCTCCACCCACTATCAGTGTTACATGTTGTTGCTCCACCCACTATCAGTGTCACCATGTTGTTGCTCCACCCACTATCAGTGTTTCATGTTGTTGCTCCACCCACTATCAGTGTTACATGTTGTTGCTCCACCCACTATCAGTGTTACATGTTGTTGCTCCACCCACTATCAGTGTTACATGTTGTTGCTCCACCCACTATCTGTGTCACCATGTTGTTGCTCCACCCACTATCAGTGTTACATGTTGTTGCTTATACTCCACCCACTATCAGTGTTACATGTTGTTACTCCACCCACTATCAGTGTTACATGTTGTTACTCCACCCACTATCAGTGTTACATGTTGTTGCTCCACCCACTATCAGTGTTACATGTTGTTGCTCCACCCACTATCAGTGTTACATGTTGTTGCTCCACCCACTATCAGTGTTACATGTTGTTGCTCCACCCACTATCAGTGTCACCAT